GCTAATTTTGGTCTTGAATTATTTGTGGAAGTCTAGGGAAGGTTTAAAAGGTAGATAAATATGAAAATGCTCGGAATTAAATAAAAATAACAATTTTGTTTTCTCTTTGATGTGTCCCCCATCGGACGGATTCCTTTTGTTTGTTTTAAGTTTATTTTATATAAAAGTTTAGGTATTTTATTTATCGATTGAGGCACTACGAAGTCTGCCGGGTCAGCTAGTTTAAAATATATTTTTACCAGTATGAAAAAGATTTCGGTGATGACATCACTATTAATGTAGTAAGTAGCCTGTTAACCAGTTGAACTGTTATGGGTGACCTTGTGAATCACAGCCGATAAGGCGGTGTCTGCCGTCGGGCGCCGAATGTTTCCCAACACGAAGGTTATTTGACTATCGCGATTTATATCATAGGTACAATGAGATGTATTTAATGAATTCTGCCGTATTTTCTCACGTTAGTTATTTAATCAACAATAGTAATTGCAAGATTATACTTTTAAGTCTTTAAATAGCTGTGCCGAATGTCTTTAATTCGTTAAATATTTTTCGTAAGCTTCAACAAATTTTCTTACAATATTGTGTCCGCAAATAAATGTTTGAGTACTTTTCTATCAGTAACAGCTCGTAGCCAGGACCCGGGAGTCCGGTGTAAGTGCGAACACGAAAGAGACAGATATGTGTTCAAATCAACATCTATCGTGCTTCGGTATTTGTAACTTCACATAGACTTGCATTGTTGACACACTTCAAGAGAACATGCAACAAGCCTTTTATTAAGTGATATTCGGGAATGTGCTTCATAAAGTTTGAAGAGCGGGACATTATTCATGTCATGTCTAAAGGTGGATGGCGGTATTCAAAATTTTGATGTCTATGGGCTCCATTAACCACTTAAGACCATATGGGCCGCGAGCTCGTTCACCATCTGCGCGATTAAATAATTAAATCCTACGTATTAACTAGGTTATAAACTATATTTTTGCGACATTTCGTCTGAATCTATAAGCCTTGCGTAATTTAATAACATCCAAACATACAAGCTTTCACATTTTAATTACTATTATTATTATTATTTATTTTTTTATTGCTTAGATGGGTGGACGAGCTCACAGCCCACCTGGTTGGTGTTAAGTGGTTACTGGAGCCCATAGACATCTACAACGTAAATGCGCCAACCACCTTGAGGTATAAGTTCTAAGTTCTCAAGTATAGTTACAACGGCTGCTCCACCCTTCAAACCGAAACGAATTGCTGCTTCACGGCTGAAATAGGCAGGGCGGTGGTACCTACCCGTGCGGACTCACAAGAGGTCCTACCACCAGTAATTACGCAAATTATAATTTTGCGGGTTTGATTATTATTACACGATGTTATTCCTTCACCGTGGAAGTCAATCGTGAACATCAATTGTTGAGTACGTATTTCATTAGAAAAATTGGTACCCGCCTGGGATTCGAATACCAGTGCATCGCTGAACATGTATGCACCGGACGTCTTATCCTTTAGGCCACGACGACTTCATATTATTATAGAAATTAATAAAAAAAAGTAACAAAGACTGGATGTGACTAAGAAAAAATACAAACGAATCAGTATAACAGGTTTATCCAAAAAGAAATACGGATTTGACTTTACGCTTTTACTGTCGTATAACAGTTTAAGGGTATTTAATGCTTTACGGTTAACAAATTGATATTAAGAGTAAGCCAACACAAACATTATTGAATCATTCATTATAGTGCGAATGGCGTAATGACGTACCGAATTATACACTGAAAAAACGATAAAATACTTAGAATGATATCATCGTCGAATAAAGAAGCAAAAAAGCAAAGTTCTAACAGGGTCATTGACTGTTATGTGTATTAAATATGTAGAACAGATAATAAAACACCGAACCTATACTTTTTTTTGGAAGTTTAACATGAGGAATTGATATTTTCATAATTCTAGAAATACAGGATGCACTTAGTTTTGTTATTTGCATTTTGTTTTAAATGAAACCCTGTCGTCTTGCCCCTTTTAATTACTAGTAGGAGCACAAGGCGTGCCGATCCCTGTAAGGTCAGATTTACATTAATTATCTTAAAATTAGTACTTTTTAGTTAATTAAAAGACAACGCCCTTTTATACAGCGCGGCTATTGCGTTATTTCTGGGAATAGGTAGGTAGGTAGGAATAGGTTTTAATAAGGCAGGCAACGTGGGCACTATATTACTTTATAGTCTGGTTTAGGTATGTGGTAAAATTATATGGAACTTTTGCAATATTCGCGGTTACGGCCCAAATTAATAGTGAGCATGTTTTATTTTGAGCAGATTAAGAAGTCAAGGTTAAGCAATTTTAATTCAAACGATGTATACTCATTTACTGAGCTTACAAAAAATTGACAGAGCACATATTTTTTGACACGCTTTTATTTGCTGCGTATGTATATATGTTTTTTTTTTGCTATTTCGGTGCTATTTTAGTTTTTAATCTATATATTATATTATTCTACCGCCATACCACTCTGAGCGAAACTGTTATTTTAGCTTGAATAACTTACCTACTTTTGATTAAAGTGAATTTTTTTCTTTCTTAAAAATATAATTATGTATATTATAATATTATGAAATGCACCCTTTTTCAGTAGTCACTGACCAATATAAGACTTTGTTAACAGATTATAGTGGCACTGGAAATTGCATATTGCCGCATTGCATATTGTAGGTCGCAAGTTCTTTTAGATTGATCCGCATTTATTTTAATGTTTTATGTAAGTATACTATTGTAGTATTGATATTTGAATATGACTAACTAAGGACATTTTATTGGTGACAGATATTGTTACGATACTAGACAAAGCCCAATGAAGTTCTATCAATACTACCCAGATAGAACAACTCATTGGATGATTCACACTTGTTACACGGGTCGGGTCAGATGTTATTAAATGCTGTTAGCGTGCTAGCACGTAACCAAAATTGGTGATAAATCTTAACAAACTCTTTATACTTACTTCCTACTCTGGGGCCATTATTATTTCCAACGCCACACTGCTTAACAAATAACCACTTAGTAATTGCAGGTGTGGTCCATTACCTGAACAAACACGGTGTAGTCTTGCGACAAAATACATGGATGATTATTTTTTTTACTAAACTTCTGGATGTAGGATGTTTTGAGCCTGAAGTTATGTTTAATTTCTATCGGTGTCTATGATTTCGGATGAGCATCACTTTATCCGCAAATCGTATGTCTAACGGCAGTGAAAAAAATAAGCTTTATGAATTATCAAAAGTGAATTGGAATATTATTATATTTTAATTGATATTAATAGCTTTCTTTAATAACAATTATTGAAGTCAAATCAGATACTATAAAAAGCAAGAGTTATACGTCGATAAACTCTTGGTCTTTATTTAGCACTGTTTTGGTTAAATTTCTATTTAACTACAGACGCATCCTTTGATGGTTTTCGAACCCGGAATCATTACTAATTTGTTTAATAGGGTTAATACAGGGTTAGTTTCCAATTTTGTAGAATTTTAATGTTAGGCGTGTAACAGCAGCATTGCTTCGCAATCAAGACGCGGAGGTTCCTCATATTCAAAATTAATCTAAAGCCTTTATTTCTGGCCAATGTTCAACATTTAAATTAAATAATGCACTTTTTATCGTACAAGCAAGACACATTTTCAAGCACGCTCCCAACAATACAAATCAGACAATTGGTACCTATTGGAATATACGTTATAATATAATAGTTGGGAATGAGTGCTAACATTATATTATGTGTATAAGGGCGCAAACATCAACGGCTCGGGCAGGGCATGTAATGCTCCAAATTGTCCGATTTATAGGGCGCGCCATAAGGGTAAGGGCTGGAATTCAAATTTACTATGTTCATAATAATATATTGTCAGATACACATACTATAAACTATATAGGACATCACAGAAGATTTGATGGGATAATTTTCTTATCATATTTTATTTCTTCAATTTAAAAATAGGTCAAGACGGCGGAAATCAAATTATCTATTTATCAAAATTTTCGTTTATTGTAATGGGTCTGCCATAATTATTTAGATTAATTTTAAGATCAGTTTTTATAAATATATACGTACATATTGAATACATATTGAATGGTTTTGTTAATTTACTGATTGTTTGCGTCTAAGAAATAACGATCGGAAATGATTCGATGGATCGAATTCTTTGTTACGCTATATAATTTTTGATGTCATCGGATCCAGATGCCGCTTGCGTGATTCCGGTAACATGTAAATTTTGAGTTAAATTCATCACAGGAACCATCGAACAAGGCCACGACAACTCGGTCATCGGGTCGTCAGTTGGAGTACGAATTGCGAGGACGCGCCCAGAACAAGTCGGCACGCCTACGGGAGGGAGGATATATCACTCCTTCCCGCATTGCGACACTACGTGCCATTCGGAAGGAGACTAATTTTAGCTTAAATTAATGCAAATATACGCAATATGAAATATTAATGCGACGCATGTAATACTTTGAATGCGTCCATGGCGCGCTGATTACGTAAGATTTATTTCGGCTATGTTATTAGCATGCAACAGTGACGAAAATAAAAACTACTATTAGGAGGAAACAGCGTCCTGTATCTAGCGTTTGTACTCGGCACAATTTGCCGGCCGGTTCCGTACGGACGTGGAATAAATACTGTTGTTTGTTTCCCTATTAAACTTATTTATATTTGGATGTTATTAAAAGTACATAAATTATATTAAGAACCTGTTCTCAACTATAGCCAAAAATAATTATATACCTGGCTATTTACATTAGTTGTATTTTTTTTTAAATAAATAAAAAGTGCCTACTGACCCTTTAAAACAGAATCCACTGAGGCTTTAGTAATATGGATTGCTCATAATTAACTCATTACAGAATGTTCCGTTTTTTTTTATCGTAATACAATAATTTAAAATGCTTGGATATTCCTGCTGCTTAGTATCAAGTTATAATTTTGTACTTACTTAAGAGTAGTCCAGCTGGCAAGACAACTCTCACCAGCAGCATAGAAAAGTAATATTTATGCATTATGATTGATGATGCCTGAAACAAGTAAAAAATAATGAAGCAAACTGTATATGTTTATTTTCATAAAAAAACTTCATTTTAAAACAGCAAGAGCAGTATATATTATAAAGGAATCAATAAATAGATTGAGTTAAGTAGTATTTAACTGACAATGGGTTCAAACTTAGATGTACACATATGTATATATTTAATTTTAGGCTTTATTTCAGCTACTGCATTAGTAGATGTTAATTTAAAAAAAAGAACAAATAGATATGAAAGTTGTTGTGATTTTAGGAGCATCAAAATATTTTTATGGAAATCATAAGCTTATCAGCCAAGTCATCATTAAGTGTGTAAAGTAATAATTTTTCACATAGGACCATTTGTTTAATTAATCATTCAAAATTATATAGATACATAAATATTTAAAAATGACTATCAAAGGACAATACTCAAGATATTTTAAACTAGTAGGCAAATAAAGGTAAGTAATTTAATAGTAAGTTTAAACCCTAGAAAATTTAGGAAGCAGCGCAAGAGTTTATGCATGTCTTATGTATAAATTACAATTAACATTTTACTATTTTTTTACAGTTAAAAATTAGTCAAAAAAATACGTATTAGCATAAACCTACAACTTCCTTAGAGCTGGAAGTCATAAAGTCAAAAGTCATATTGCATATTCTCAAAATGTTTACTTTAGGGATTTATTTTGAGGAACTGGTTAAAATTTAAGATTTATATTTGTTGCTTTAACTAACTAATGTGTTAAATAAATAAATATTTACTAACAATCACGCCACATTAACTGGTCCCGTGATAAGTTCGTAAAGAACTTGTGTTACAGGTACCAGATAAGGGATATAAATGTAAGATTTTTATTATACACATACATATTTTAATATACATCCATAGCCCTGGAAAATACATTTATATTTATCATACAAATATCTTCCCTTGGCGGGATTCGAACCCGCGACCCCCTTGTGTAGTGACCATGTCACTTACCACTACACCAGACGGCCGTTAAATAGAAGAAATAGTTTAAAAATTATGTAAATAATATCCATAAAATATTTCTCTTAATCTTTTATATAATATATATTAAAAGTAACAAAAGTTAAACTTATATTTTATTTCACTCAACATTGTAAACATTATGCATACCAACATTCCCACTACAATATATCGAATAATCGCATTATTACAAAAATTAGAAGGCTGCTTATTGTGCAGTTATAATAATATAATTTTACGTTTATAATTTCAGAACTGACCTATTTTTTTAAGTTTACACTTAACTTATCAACTTACCGATTAATATTGATGAAATTATTTAACCATCTCAAGTCTTATAATAATCACCATAAACTTAACTCATAGTTCGTGAACACTGATTTCACATGTAAAACTTTAACATTTTTACGACATTGGCAAATTTGAAATCAAAACACGACCGCCCGGTACACTCATCCATTTCTGACACAAGAATTAAAATGTTGCCAATTCCAATAAGGAAGATTTAAAAGGAGTAACGTCAGATTGACAATTACAGATGACTTTATGTTAGGCGAATTTACATTAGCCTGGCAAAATAGAAACACAGCTTTATACTGGCTTAACTTGATCACAGCAATAATATGTTTATATTGTTTTTCCCATTAGTTTACAACGTTGTTATAAACTTACAAATTTCTAAAAAGCAAGAGGTTTCATAGAGTCTTTAAGCTGTGTCGGATGGCTTAACTTTAAACTTTATTATATTTTCTCGATTCCGGAACTGAACATTATGCACAATTGCTGATATTTTGAGTATAAATCCCAAATAATTTATTTGTTTAAATAGCGTAGATGGCAGATTAAAATAAAACAAACAAGATTCAGCAACCAGAAAAGAAATTTTCAAAAATCGACTAAGACCGATTGAATCCGATTAAAAAAATACACAAGAGACCTTTACACACAAGAGATCACATACACAAGAGATCTTTATACATATGAAACATTTGTGTCACGATGTTTGTCCACGATGAACTTCTGATCTAATGAACTGATTTTAATAAAACTTCACACACTTTGTATTTTTACAACCCGCAAGTTAAATTAAGTTGTAATGAACGCTTTGCTGTCACTATGGCCAATTGTATGAAGAAATTGATTTTTTTAAACCATTAATCTTAAAATTCAGATAGTTAGTTTCGTACTTCATCCCAGAAAAACATTGTGCCACGTAAGCTAAATTTGTTAAAGCCTACTATTTAAAAAAAATCGATAATAATAAAGCTTGGAAATCCCTTATGAAATAAAAATAAAAACGGTTGACAAACAGAGAAGAACATAGTTTTTGTCTATTTACACACAAACATTTATATGGTACAGGATATAGAAGACTATTGGACTAATAATGGAAAATAAGAGTCATTCACTAAACGAAACAGGAATAATTGTCGATTTAGTAAGTTAAAACCTAGTAGACCCGAAATACATCTATAACGTGAAAGTAACTGGCAACCGCCCTTTTCACTCCCTACAGGCCGCAGAGTGTTGTTGTAGGGTAACATAATTATAAACAATATGTGTGCCTACCTACTGTGTTAAAATATTAATAAAAGTTAGTCTGTAAAAAACTACTGTACGTGTTTTAATAGGTTATGGGCCCAGTGTTATATTTCGTGTTTAAATAAAGTCTTTTTGTTTAAAACTATCCCTGGTGGACTATCAGTGAACTGTTTTTGGATAAACTATATAAGAAGAGTGAAAATCGTTCCTAATTAATCTTTTTTGTGTGTGACAATCAGTTACCGTGTGTGTGGTTTGACGATAATACAAAATGGCTGGAAGTTACATTGTCAACGTGCCTAAATTGAAAGGTCGCGAAAACTTCGACGAGTGGGCGTTTGCAGCTGAACATTTTTTGATGTTGGAAGGTGTCGATATTCATAAGTTAGAATCATCAACCGATGCTAGTTCTATTGATGAAAGAAAAGCTAAAGCTAAACTTATTATGACAATTGACTCTTCAATTTATGTTCACATTAAAAACGAGCAAACAGTACAAGGTGTGTGGAAGCGTTTAAAAGCCCTGTACGATGACTGTGGCTTTACGCGTCGCATCAGTCTACTTCGTCAGCTAATATCAATTCGATTAGAAGATAGCGAATCAATGGAAGCATATGTAACGCAAATGGTCGACACTGCACAAAAACTTAAAGGTACGGGTTTTCAGATCACTGATGAGTGGATCGGTTCACTATTATTAGCGGGCCTAACAGATACATTTGCTCCTATGATAATGGCCATTGAACATTCTGGATTAGCCATCAGTACGGATGCCATCAAGTCAAAATTACTGGACATGAGTTCAGAAGTTGGCAACACTGCAACTAACAATGCCTTTTTGTCGAAAGGTTGGCAGCACCGGAACAAGAAAAAAGGGTCTAAACAAAAAACGTCATCGCCGGCTGCTAGTTCTGTTAATCATAAAGCAATCCGATGCTATAAATGTAAAGAGTTAGGGCATTATATGAATAAATGTAAAAATATACAAAATAGATGTGAAAGCAATGCATTTAGTGCAATATTTTTGAATGGAAGTTTTCATAAGAATAATTGGTATATAGACTCAGGCGCAAGCTCACATATGATAACAGAAAAGAGTTGCTTACAGAATGTTTCCTATAACCACACAGTAAGGGAAATAATAGTTGCAAATAAAGACAAATTACCTGTAGAATGCTCAGGAAACACGATGATAACGACGATTGTCGGTCATTCAGAATTTAACATTCCTGTTAATGATGTGTTATGTGTACCTAACTTATCTACCAATCTATTATCAGTAAGTCAGATGATTCGTAATGGAAACAAAGTGAGCTTCGAAGAAGACGTTTGTTACATACGCAATCGACAGAATGTGCTGGTAGGAAAAGCAAACCTGGTGAATGGAGTCTATAAATTGGACATTAAGTCAGACAGTTTGTTCGCGTGCTCAGCCACAACTGTGACTAGTGAGATATGGCATCGAAGATTAGGACACATTAACAGTAGAAGCTTGAATATTATGAAGAATGGTGCTGTGGATGGGATATCATACATGGATAAAGCTGAAATTGATATGTCCAAGTGCATCATATGCTGTGAAGGAAAACAGTCAAGGTTGCCATTTTCACATAAAGGTACGAGAAGTGAAAATGTGCTTGAACTTGTTCATGCAGATGTCTGTGGACCCATGGAACAACCTTCTATTGGACTATCAAAGTATTTTTTGCTTTTTGTAGATGACTACAGTAGAATGGCATTTGTGTTTTTTCTCAAAGCCAAGAACCAAGTTTTCAAATATTTTAAAGAGTTCAAAACTCTGGTTGAGACACAGACAGGCAGAAAACTAAAAGCCTTAAGGACAGATAATGGTGGAGAGTTTTGTTCGCTAGAATTTGATGAGTTTTTGAAGAAAAATGGCATAGTACATCAAACAACAAACCCTCATACACCAGAACAGAATGGCCTGTGTGAAAGACTTAATAGAACTGTCGTGGAGAGAGCTCGGTGTCTTCTGTTTGAAGCAGGCCTAGATAAAAAGTTTTGGGCCGAAGCAATCAACACAGCAGTCTATTTACGAAATAGAACATTGGCAGCAGGACTTCAGAAAACACCTTATGAAATATGGAGTGGTAAAAAGCCAAATCTAAGTCATATACGGATATTTGGTAGTCCTGCAATGGTCCATGTCCCCAAAGCAAAGCGGACTAAATGGAACAAGAAGGCCAATGAACACATCCTGATTGGATACTCAGAGAGTACCAAAGGATACAGGCTGTACAATGTAAAAACAAAAAATATTACCACTAGCAGGGATGTTGTTATCATGGAGAAAATCAACAACACAGATATGATACAAGCAGTAGTGGAAGAAAAAGAAACTATTCCAAGTGAAGAAGGAATACAAAAATGTGCTGTGACAAGTGAAGATTCCACTTGTGACTCACTAAATAGCACATACATGACAGATGATGCTACATATGTACCAGATGATACCAGTACCACCAGCTCAGATGAATTCTGTGATAGTAAATCGAATCACAAGTCAGAAAATCTGCAGCCAATAATTAAGGTGGAAAAGAGGACTAGGAAGAAACCAGACTGGTATGGGTACAATAACATATGTCAGAGCAGTGAGGAGGTGGACGACAATCTTCTCACTTATGAGGATGTAATGAGAGGATCAGAACAAGAAGAATGGTCAAAGGCCATGAAAGAGGAAATACAATCTTTCCATCAGAATGATGCTTGGGAGTTAGTAGACAGACCCAGTGGTGAAAATATTGTGGCATGCAAATGGGTGTATAAAAAGAAACTTAACAGTGACAACTCAGTGAGATATAGGGCACGGTTGGTTGCGAAGGGTTTCAGCCAGAGACAGGGTATAGACTTTAAAGAAACTTTTTCCCCAGTGCTAAAATATTCCACTTTAAAACTGTTATTTGCTATTAGTGTTAACTTGAATCTTAGCATAACCCATTTGGATGTAACGACGGCCTTTTTGAATGGTCACCTAGATGAAACTGTTTTTATGCAATTGCCTCAGAGTTTTGAATGTAAACCTAATGCTGATAAAGTCTTGAAATTGAAAAAGGCCATTTATGGACTAAAACAGTCAGCGAGGGCCTGGTATAAGCGAGTTGATGATTATTTACAGGAGTTAGGCTATAAAAAGTCTATGTATGAACATTGTTTGTTTATAAAATCAACAAAAAATTATAAAACATATGTGGCTTTATTTGTGGACGACTTTTTCATTTTTTCTAATTATGAAAAAGATGTAGAACATTTAAAAGTTGAGCTGAGCCAAAAATTTAAGTTAAAAGATTTAGGCCAGCTTAGACAGTGTCTAAGCATGGAAATTAAGATACATAAAAATAAAATTTTTGTTAGTCAGAAAAACTTTATTGAGTAAATTTAATTTAGAAAATTGCAAGAATGTTGAGACGCCTATGGAAACTAATCTAAAGCTTGAGAAAGGAGATAAGACACATTCTAAGTTCCCTTATCAGCAGCTTATAGGCAGCTTAATGTATCTCTCTGTTCTAACTAGACCCGATATCTCATACTGTATAAGTTACTTAAGTCAATTTAATAACTGTAATACTGAAACACATTGGAAACATGCAAAAAGAGTGTTGAGATATTTGAGTGGCACTAAATATTATGGTTTATTGTATGTTAAAAATAATTTAGACATAGCTGGTTATGCTGACGCTGATTGGGCATCAGATAATCAAGATCGTAAGTCATACACTGGATATTGTTTTATTTATTCAGGTTGTTTAGTTTCTCATGAAAGTAGGAAGCAACAAACTGTTGCCTTATCTAGCACAGAGGCCGAATATATGGCTGTTTGTGAAGCAAGTAAGGAATCTATTTATTTAAAAAAACTGTTAACTGAATTAATAGATAGAGGAAATATTCCTATTGAATTATATAATGATAGTCAAAGCGCTAAAAGGTTAACTGAAAACTGTGTGTATCATAGAAGAAGTAAACACATAGATGTCAAATTTCATTTTATTAGGGAAGCAGTAGGTAACAGATTAGTTGTTGTAAAATATTTAGAAACAAATGAAATGCCAGCTGATATATTGACAAAAAGCTTAAGTAAAAATAAACATTATTATTTTATGAACAAGATGGGTGTTGTAATGTTACATGCTTAAGATGCATTTGTGTTTGACTTTTTTTTNAGCAGTAGGTAACAGATTAGTTGTTGTAAAATATTTAGAAACAAATGAAATGCCAGCTGATATATTGACAAAAAGCTTAAGTAAAAATAAACATTATTATTTTATGAACAAGATGGGTGTTGTAATGTTACATGCTTAAGATGCATTTGTGTTTGACTTTTTTTTGGTATTATTATGTTAAGTGGTGGTGTTGTTGTAGGGTAACATAACTATATATGTACTTAGCGCCTTCTATCATAGGCTATAAACAATATGTGTGCCTACCTACTGTGCTATTTATTAATAAAAGTTAGTCTGTAAAAAACTACTGTACGTGTTTTAATAGGAATAACATCGTGTAATAAAAATCAAACCCGCAAAATTACTTGCGTAATTACTGGTGGTAGGATGTCTTGTGAGTCCGCACGGGTAGGTACTAACTGCCCTTCCTATTTCTGCCGTGAAGCAGTAATGTGTTTCGCTTTGAAGCGGGGGCAACGGTACTGTAAAAACTGAGACCTTAGAACTTATATCTCATAGTATGTGGCGGTATTTACGTTGTAGATGTTTATGGGCTCTGGTAACCACTTAACATCAGGTGGACAGTAAGCTCGTCAGCCAACTAAGCAAAAATAATGAATGGCGACATCTTGTGAAGCGTGCCATCATCCGACTTGTTGACCACGACCACTCTGCTAAAAGTACAAATGACTAAGAAGAACATGCAATTAATACATTGTAGTACTGGTGGTAGGACCTCTTGCGAGTCCGCGCGGGTAGGTACCACCACCCTGCCTATTTCTGCCGTGAAGCAGCTTTGAAGTGTGGAGCAGACGCTGTAACTATACTTGAGACCTTAGAACCTAGATCTCAAGGTGGGTGGCGCATTTACGTCGTAGATGTCTATGAGCTCCAGTAATCAAGTAACACCAGGTGGGCTGTGAGATCGTCCACCCATCTAAGCAATAAAAAAAAAAAAAGTCTCGCATCGATTCGAAATCTGATCGAAAGTTGGCTAAGACAGTATACAAAAAAAAAGTTTTTTGAATAGATTAAATCATGAACGTGAATTTTAGGGGCGAAAATGATTTATTTTGGTGTATTACAAGAACCACGGTTCAATTTTTTTGTTCATTATTTGGGTATCGGAGCTCATAGGTATCATAAAGCTGATGCCGCCATCTTGAGACACTAAGCGAAAGTTTTGGTGGATATTTGATAGCCACCTGTCTGGTTTTGCCACAAATCAATCTTGATTATCAACTTTGAAGATGTGGTTATCGGTTTAGATGTTTATTCGAGCTTGATATTATTATAATTACTGTCAAGATGATTATAATTTAACATAATTTGGTACGATTCCACAGATTCGGTAGAATCTGGCGCCAAGTTCCGTTCAAAAATCCCGTTGTAAACGGAGCGCCAGACTACCGACTGTGTTTACTGTGAGCAGAACAGTTTTTTGAGGTTGCGAAATTTTATTTAATTCTACGGTACTTCTGGTTCCTAAATTGTATATTATATCAATCACTCACAACTTTATTTTACTGATATTAACTAGTNAAGCAACAAACTGTTGCCTTATCTAGCACAGAGGCCGAATATATGGCTGTTTGTGAAGCAAGTAAGGAAGCTATTTATTTAAAAAAACTGTTAACTGAATTAATAGATAGAGGAAATATTCCTATTGAATTATATAATGATAGTCAAAGCGCTAAAAGGTTAACTGAAAACTGTGTGTATCATAGAAGAAGTAAACACATAGATGTCAAATTTCATTTTATTAGGGAAGCAGTAGGTAACAGATTAGTTGTTGTAAAATATTTAGAAACAAATGAAATGCCAGCTGATATATTGACAAAAAGCTTAAGTAAAAATAAACATTATTATTTTATGAACAAGATGGGTGTTGTAATGTTACATGCTTAAGATGCATTTGTGTTTGACTTTTTTTTTGGTATTATTATGTTAAGTGGTGGTGTTGTTGTAGGGTAACATAATTATAAACAATATGTGTGCCTACCTACTGTGTTAAAATATTAATAAAAGTTAGTCTGTAAAAAACTACTGTACGTGTTTTAATACAGAGTCTTCACAGTTTTTAGTTTTGTCAAATTGTATGCATACCAAAAATAAGTTAAATAGAAAATTTCGAGTAAAATTGTTTAAAATGCTTCGGGTCAGGAACCATTACCACACTACCTGTCTTTTTAGGTAGAGCTTTAATACACCCTGTTTATAATATTATACACATTAGTATTTAATAACACCTTACCGTTGTTTTATATCTAGGCTCAACTTATTTATTTCAGTTATTCTTCCTAATCCTAATAAGTTATACTCTTAATCAAGCCTTATAAGTGTAAAAATCTCGCAAGTGCTCTTGAGCGCCAAAACTCTTCACGTTTTTCTTTTACAACTCTTTATTATAATACATATTATTTGTCGACCGGATTTTACGATCAGTATGATCCCAGCAAACTACTATTCAAATGCTTTCTGGTAAAAGTAATGAAAGAAAATATAATTATTATCATAAAATCGTAGAATACAAAAACAAACTAGAAACATTTACGAGAAACGACAACAAATATAACCGAATGAATGAGGTGATGTTGGAGCCATCTATTTTTTTGCTATCATTCAATCTTGATAGCACTATATGATAGAGTCGATTTTTACAACACTACTGCGATTGCCGACTGCACTAAAATTTTATTTTTATTGCGAATTAATGGCGTAGCCAGGTGAGGTTTCTTGTTTATTTCTTATTTCATAACATTCTACAGTTTTCATTTGTTTTGTCTTGATGCTTACCATAAAAAAAATACACTACATTTCAAATAGTCAAAATTAAAAAGATAAACTATTTTTTTTACGTAAAAATCACATTTACGGGTAATGAACACGTATTGGAATTGTTCCGATTAAATATCCTAGGATCATTGTCATCACTTTCACTTTTAGCACTATTTGATTTAATAGAGGTATACGTACCAATTGGCGGCGGTCGCCATGGATGAGTGAGTTTTCCGTTATTTCTGTTTTCTGTTGTGTTTAATTATGACAAGGTTACTCATCTCTTTAAATGTGAAAAATGTGACTATCATTGTACGTCGCAAGCGCGATGGAGGCTGTTTCACTTTAATATATTTGTTTATATTTTTTTATGCTTTTCTAGCACCATGTCGACTCTAACGAAAATGACCCGTACGGTTAAAAAACTGGAAGTTCCCAGACCTCTGAAATCGACGACCAGTTCTGCTCATAACCGTAATTCTACATTGGACGTCAAAATAAACTCCGGTAAGAATGTAAACTATGTCAAAGCCGTAGTTTACGTACAGCTACTACATATAAGGGTAAAGTAAACAATAATTAAACTTCCAAGAGTAGATAAATTGTATTGTAGATAAAAAACAGATACAACATAATTATGTAGCGAGGATCATTGTTTACATATTGGATTAGTACATAAGGTTTTTGCCCTTTCTTGGTTGGTAAAAGATCTTCAATAATAATTTGTGTGCTCAATCCCAATGCATAATTAGAATGGTCTAGTTTTTACAAAAAAATCATAATTATTTATCTGGATTAAAAAAACAGAAGTTACAACTTCATTAACCCTTATTTTCAGAAAATTGAAGTAGTTTTCAATTTGCATTATTACTGTTTGGCTTACCATTACACCAATACATGTAATGTATTTTCCTTTTTAGTTGATGACCTGATAGTACTAGCAGAAGCTGTGGCATACCAAATGATGCAAGGAAATTATGACCGTGCTCTCCAAAGCAATGTTGCCACAATGTACTCGAATCTTAAACTATATGGAGCTCAACTCGAGGTCCTCTACAAAGATTTTCTTGATAGGTATGATTCATTTTTATACTGGATTGCTTAAAACAATCATTAAACTTCATATAAAATATATAATTTAATATTAAAATAAATAATAACATTTAAAAAAATCTGAATTGAAATTTTTTAAATTTGGTTAATAACCAGTTAACAAACATTTTTTCATTGAGCAGATACTTTGTTGTGTTCCGTAATGGCTCACAAGATGAGCGCCTTGATAAGAAGACTAGATTGCACCTTCTTGAATTGATCGAGTTGAGAGCTAAGTTGTGGCAAGGTTCCGACTATATGAGTCAATATTATAGGCACCGTGGTACTCATGCTGAGGTAATAATTTATTGTCTGTAGTGTTGTACACAATCTGATAGTATTAAATTAGATAACAGATGGTAAATAACAATATTGGTCTTGTCATATTTCCAGCCTTTGCTGGTACCAACAATGGAGGGAACAGGATCAGGTGGGTCTGTGTCGCCTACGCTGGCTGCGCCGGCCGAGCCCCCTGCTATGCTCGGCCCTGGGGAGGTCATCAAACCCTCAGGAAAATTCCCCAAGCCCACCAAAATCCCGGGCAAGAATTACTCCAAAGATGAGGTTGTCATCAGGAATGCTGACTCTGGAAAAGGTATGTTGTTAACAATTAAACATAAAATTAATGTGTTCTAAGATGGCTTTCTTTAGAACACACAATTTTATGAAGGTAATTTTACTATTAGACATGCATGTGGTAATTAGTATCTTTATTTATTATATATAAGCTGATGTTATAACATTGAATATTTTAGTCCAGAGATTTTTTAAGAATGGTCAATTTATTCAGAACCATTTCAGTAGTGCTAAAGAGATTAACATATCAATGAACAAAAAGCAATTTTTCCTGTTATATTAGAATAAATATGCTTTAAAATCCGATTAGACTGAAGTTTGCATGTTAAGAGTGTAATGTTTAATTATGATTGAGTTTTCAGTTAAACCTTTGCATGTTTGATAAAGGTGTTGTAAAATATGTGTTGACTAAAGTGATGTTTAAATATTTTTATCTATGTTTGTTATGTAGACTCAAAATGAATTGTTATGTTGGAATTTTTTAAATGTTAAGGTTAGCAAATCTGATAGGGCCTGCGGCGTATCTTAAGTTGTATTGTGGTGTTCCAGTGATGGGTATCAAGGGCAGGAGGGTGCACATGATCGAGGAGCTAAGTGACACGATCATATCGTTTCAGCGAGGTATGAATGCACGGTGCAGGGACTGTGATGCGCTTGCGCATGGTGTTGCGACCTCCTTCTTCCTTCATATCCTATATCGAAATTTTCCATCACAAGTTTCGTTTACTGTTACCAAAAATATACATGATTCATTCTTTAACAATTACCAAAAATATACAAACTAAATAATCTATTTTATAATCCAAACTAATAAAACTCATCGGTTTTTATTGGTATGATTAAAAACAAGCATATTAATATATCATTGCCTAACAACCGCATCAAGCTTGTGCTTTACTAGAAAAGGTTAGCATTAATGATATTATGAGGGTCACTCCATATTTCAGTGAGTCCGGGAGCCAAGGAGCGACTAGTACAGATCACTGGACCGAATGAGGAAAATGTCAAGTAAGTAACTATACTAAGTTTTATAAACTATCAGACAATAAGTATCATGCTACTTTTAAAAAGTGCAAAATAAAGTTTGGGATGTTTCACATCAGATTTTTGCTGTAAAAAAATAAATTGACTGGTCATGCAGAAGAATTGTAAATGTGTACACAGCATTTGTTATTATTGAATGGTAACATTGTTTAGTCTTGTGTAATTATAAGCACGCGATTTTTTCCACGCGACTTATCGATAATCTCCTATACCAAATTCACACTGATGTAGTCTTTAAAAAATGATTCATCATTTGTAATGTGAAAAGTGAATCTACATTTGTACTGGGCAAAGCCTCCCCAACCTATGTGATAATTTTTAATAATTTTTCAACATAGGCCTAGATACTTCTTTTTTTATTATTTACATTACATAACAAGAGCTTTAGTAAAATAAATCACTTCTAGAAAAATGAAATAAACAAGAATGTGTAAAATAATTTTGGGAATACTTCAAAACACTAGTGCGTGTTTCGCAGTCACGCTAAACATCTGATTGGCGACACGATCCGTCGCAACGCGTCCCCGGTGCGACTGGAGGGGTCACTAGAGGCGCCCCGCTCCCCCTCCCGCGCCTCGCTGGACTCTGCCGCCTCTGACGAACCGCCGCGCAACCGAGAGGTACTTACTATACATACTGTAATTCATCTATATAACGTCAGTATAACGAAAACACTCCTGAAGTCGAATCAGTCAGTAATATCGACATTTCTATACTGGGTGTTAGGAGACTGCTTCCGAAAACAAAGAGACGATTTTCCTCCCATCATCAAAGGTGTCATTAGTACCATCGTCTATCTTCGTTTTCGGCTGCAGTCTCCTATCATCCAGCATAATAAGACAAACTATAATATTGAGGGTTGAAGGTGACATTTTGGCAACTTTACAGGAGAGCCATTAAAAGGATAAATTTTGGAAAAAAAATGAAAAGAAAATACCTTCAGCTATTTGAAGGGAGTAAAATTAATTGAAGTTCAATTAAAAACATCGAACTGTTGATGCTAATACCAAATAAAATGCACTTTTAATTATAAAGATAAGTGTCGCGTATTAAGCGAAATGTCCCTTAAACCAAATAGCCCTTCAACCCCCCTCGATATCATAAGGCTAAGTATAAAAATTAGCCAAGTCCACTTTTCGTGAATATACATTAGAAAGCGAATACAGCGAAATTGATTTTTAATTGCATCAAATGACAAAAATACCAGTAAGAACAAAAAAAACTATAATCATGTTAGAACTCAAATGCAACACTTGTTTTTTTATTTATCGAAATTTTAATAAGCTAAATTTGCGGTTTTTTTGTTGAACACTACATATTTGCCTTTTATCTTAATGACAGTGGCGCTATGTATGTTCTATGTATTTCTTTAATGAATATACTTATTTCTCAGTGGATTTACTAAATTACTGCTAACTTCGGTTTCTGAGTTTTATTGTACTACACTGTTGCACATCCACTGTATATTATTTAAAATATTATATACCGACTGTAATAAAATCTGCTATTAACTGAAGAAGTATTGTAAATGTTTCACTTGCTATTATTATTAGGTTTAAAATAATAAAGTGGGAAACTCGAAAATGCATAATTAATAATCATTTCAAATTCCAGAAATCTCCTCACAACTCGAGAGCTCTGCTTCACAGTTTCTCTACGAATGATGCTGCACTTGGTGAATATAAGTACACTGTGACTTTCGGACAACATTCCATTAAGATCACCGGTAATAACCTGGATCTTGTGAAGGTAAGTTTTACTTCACGGCAATTTCTTATCTATTAAATTTAAAGGTTATCAAGAGAAAGTCGTCAGTTTTGAGAGAACAGAAAGATAAGATAAAGCAATCTGAATATGATAAAACTTTAAATCATTTGTGTTCAAAACTTTTGAATTGTAATGCAGTCACACATCTATTTTTTTTTCATGAATAATAATGAAGGAGCACTGTATGGTAGTTTTTACAGAAGAACATTGGGTCTGGGATCAAAACTATAATGCTTCATGTATCAGTGTTAGTTCTCAAATTCGGTGGAGTAAATTTTAACTGACCTTGGCATATATCAATAAAATGAATATAGACCATGTTAAGGGCAGGCATAGTTGTGTACATAATTAAGTATTTCAGAAAATATATCTTGTATTATAAGCTTATTGGCAGTCTGCATGGTTTGGTACCATCATTTTGCATATGATTTGAGTCTTATTGTAATATAACTAGAGATTTAACCAGTTTGTTTCAAAGTGGTACCGTGCTTGATGTCGTGCTCTCTACGCTCCGTTTCCCATCCAACACAATACCGAGCGTATAATAGCCGGCAAACTTCTTGAGCATTTGTTGACGTAGTGGGGGTAAGTTCGCGCATGGTATACTCACGTGCAAAAACATTATTTACTCTGCGTCATAATGCAATTAAATTATTAAAATCAACATATGTATTTATTTATATATTTATTAGAACATCAACAAAAAATATAGGTTAATAATTGTAATAATTTAATCTTGGGGTAAAATAGATATTCCTTCTATTAAATCAAAACTAGAGCTGTTGCCAGGTCTTGGTTCAGTTGAAGCGAAGCTGGTATTTGTAATTTTTTTTCGTTATCATAATCTTGACCATCATCATCATCATCACTGTTTTCATCACCCGAGTCGCTATCATCGTGATGAGTCGACATAAGGCTCATCGGTGTAGTTTACAACTCGGTCTTCTTTTTTGTCTATAATTAATTATTTTTTGAAGATATTCGATTCGTAGTAATCGAATGTAACTTTTTTCAATTACCAGCTTCCGATTATTTTCTGTTTTTTTTTTCATCTGAAGTCTAGCTCTTTTATAATTCGTCGTAAACTTCATTCCGAGTCATTAAAATTTATATCTTCTTTAAATTTTTCGAAGCCTTTCTACGGTACGGAGTTTCGCTGCTTGTTATGTAGTTATTATGATTACATCTTTTTATTACAGATTGAACGAAACTATCCATTCCGGTAACTTTCTTCTTCCCTGATCTTTTCTTACCTGGAGTCCGAAACACGGCGAGCAAGCCAGAGCCTTTAGCTTCGTTAATAATGCACCTAACAGTACTCACTGATGTTTTTGTTGCTTCCGAAATCTGTTTTACTTTTTCCATATCATTCTTCCCCTGTTTTATAATGAAGCAATATACGTCGTACACAATTTTTCTACACTTTCTTTTGAATACTACACCAGTCTGTCGCGGCATAGTGTATTTTTTATAAAAAATCAACAAACACTCAACAAATACCAATGGCAACAAAGTCAACAAGCAATTATAACAAATAACTTAATGATTAATAACGATAGACTTTTCACTGTACGCAAGCGTACTTTTGGGAGCAAGCGGAACGAGGGCGAGGTGCGGGGCGCAGGGTTCGACTGATCTACCAATAACGCGCTCGATACGTTTTCCCCTGCCGTCGCGCCTCACCCTCACCACCAAAGTGATCTAAAATTCGGTTCTGCGCAGTCAAGGTCATTTGCTCAAGAAGTTTGCCGGTTACTATACCATCACTTCTTTCATTCGAATAATTCGACTTATTCGATTGATCGTTTGATTTGATCGAATGTTTAACATAAATATAATTTTTATTATATGTAGGTATTTAAACTTTTGCAACTAATGAGGTTATTACACTATTCGCTACTGAATTCAGTCAAGTGTAATAGCATTAAGTAAGTTAGTCTACTGAATTCAGTAGCAAGGATGGTTTCTGAATGACTGAATCATTTAGAAGCCCGGTTTAGAAACTCATTTAGGAAGGCGTAATCGCATTTAGGTATAATAACCGGCAAACTTCTTGAGCATTTGTTGACGTAGTGGGGGTAAGTTTGCGCATGGTACACTCACGTGCAAAAACATTACTTACTCTGCGTCATAATGCTATTAAATTATTAAAATCAACATATGTATTTATTTATATATTTATTAGAACATCAACAAAACATATAGGTTAATCATCATTCATCATCATTATCCTGCCCTTTTCCCAGTCACCTGGGGTCGGCGCAACATGTTTTCTCCTTCCATACTCTTCTATCATATACCATTTCTTCGCTCACTCCCCTCCTACCCATATCGTCTTTCACACAATCCATCCATTTCTTCTTAGGTCTACCTCTTCCTCTAAAAAAAAACATATAGGTTAATAATTGTAATAATTTAATCTTGGGGTAAAATAGATATTCCTTCTATTAAGTCAAAACTAGAGCTGTTGCCAGGTCTTGGTTCAGTTAAAGCGAAGCTGGTATTTGTAATTTTTTTTTCGTTATCATAATCTTTACCATCATCATCACCACTGTTTTCATCACCCGAGTCGCTATCATCGTGATGAGTCGACATAGGGCTCATCGGCGTAGTTTACAACTCGGTCGATACGGTCTTCTTTTTTGTCTATAATTAATTATTTTTTGAAGATATTCGATTCGTAGTAATCGAATGTTACTTTTTTCATTTACCAGCTTCCGATTATTTTCTGTTCTTTTTTTCCATCTGAAGCCTAGCTCTTTCATAATTCGTCGTAAGCTTCATTCCGAGCCATTAAAATTTATATCTTCTTTAAATTTTTCGAAGCCTTTCTACGGTACGGAGTTTCGCTGCTTGTTATGTAGTTATTATGATTACATCTTTTTATTACAGATTGAACGAAACTATCCATTCCGGTAACTTTCTTCTTCCCTGATCTTTTCTTACCCGGAGTCCGAAACACGGCGAGCAAGCCAGAGCCTTTAGCTTCGTTAATAATGCACCTAACAGTACTCACTGATGTTTTTGTTGCTTCCGAAGTCTGTTTTAATTTTTCCATATCATTCTTCCCCTGTTTTATAATGAAGCAATATACGTCGTACACAAAGGAGACGGAAAATCGTGGGCCAAAAATGTAATAACTTGGAATGTAGTCTAAAAAATTTGTCATATTTTTTTATATAGGAATATAAAAAATCACCTCAATCCTCTTTCTGGGACCGGAGAAAAATGAGAAAGTTAGTTTTTGTCGGTATAACGGTGTGATCGATTTAATTAATCGATTACAGGATTATAAAAAGAAAAACATTGCACTAGAGTCGGATTTTTAATTAGACGAAGCCAGCTGACAGTAGCTAATGTCACTTTGTGAAATAATGTTGCTATATTTAAAGTAATAGTGATGCGTTCAGTTCTCGTTCAATCACATGAATGAACAATGAGTGTGAAGAGTTAATCATTAATCTCAAACTATAAAAGAATATTATTTATATTTTACAATAAAATTGTATTAAAGTGCTCCAATATATGTTACTAGTAGTATGTAACTACAATCAGTTTTTTTATTTTCATTACCTACCTATAATTGTTATATTTTATACATCTATAATTTCAACTATATGATGTATTGGAAATAGGACAGTCTTACAAGCTTCCACGCAATGTTTTCTTAATGTTTAAAACACTCGGTATTCAGTACAGGTAGATACTATAGGAACATAATATTTCGTCGAAAACTCGTTTGTATGTACAAAGCACGCCTAAAATTCGAACCCCGTACCCGATATCGGCAATTCGGCACATCTACTATTCACTAGACAATCGAGGCAATTTCATTAATTCAGGAGTTTTTTCAATCGTTCACTTTGTCACAACACTATTTTTATTTCATCAAAAACTGACAACACAGTAAACGTCAGTTGACTTCGTCTAATAAAAAATCCGACTATAGGTAATTAATGCAAAGTAATTAAATGAGCGATTTATACTTGTTGTATACAAGTCCGGTATATGCTGGATTTCATTGCGATTATATACATAAATGAAGAAAAAGTCTATTATTACTTAACAAAGTAATATGATTATCGATTTCAAATCGATTAAAATCGATGGTATTTTTGATGACAGCTTTGATCGTAAGCTGACATGACGTTTGTTCATAAATTATACAATTATTGCCATAAACCTAAGAGATAGATAGATAGATACAATTATTTTTTGGCGCTTGTTGGTTTTTTCTGCTCTACTCGTTTTGTATCTTCGACGCATTTTGAGTGTGTATCTATCGGGCTGTTTTTATATTTTCAACGATCACTGCTTTATTATTACGGATTCCAACTCTGCCAGCCTTGTACGACAATTGCTTCTACACTGGACACCGAAGATCGCTCACACGTTTGACTTGAAATTGTTNTTTATTATTACGGATTCCAACTCTGCCAGCCTTGTACGACAATTGCTTCTACACTGGACACCGAAGATCGCTCACACGTTTGACTTGAAATTGTTGCATTGGATACTGTTGAAATTATGGATCGCTGTGTGAATTGTGGGATAGCAATTCCATATTCCATATATCATTGATATTCATTCATAATATGACATTTAAAAGAGTATCCAATGAATATAATAAACATTTACTTATGCTTAAATAAGTTATCATTCAGATCTTTTATACAGATTGTAACATAACCTAACTTTTACTAAATCTTTATTAACTCTGCTCTCAGATTGAGAAAACTTTTATAATTTTCAGCAAGGTACTGATAAATCTGAATCTATTAATTCATATTAGTTTCATCACGTTACATTCGGGCCCAAAAATGTATGTAATCGTTTCAGTCTCCTTTTCTACCCTTTCTTTTAAGTACTACACCAGTTTGTCACGGCATAGTGTATGTTTTATAAAAAATCAACAAATACTCAACAAATAGCAATGGCAACAAAGTCCACAAGCAATTATAACAAATAACTTAACGATTAATAACGATAGACTTTCCACTGTACGCAAGCGTACTTTTGGGAGCAAGCGGAATGAGGGCGGGGTGCGGGACGCAAGGTTCGACTGATCTACCAATAACGCGCTCGATACGATTTCCCCTGCCGTCGCGCCTCACCCTCACCACCAAAGTGATCTAAAATTCGGTTCTGCGCAGTCAAGGTTATTTGCTCAAGAAGTTTGCCGATTACTATACCGATGTTGGTAAACAATTATCAATCAATTAACCTCGCTCTTTCTGCCAATATGATCTCATAAAAAAACAATATAAAAAGATGGATCTGCAGGCGGCTTACTTTTTTTATTTTTATTGCTTAGATGGGTAGACGAGCTCACAGCCCACCTGGTGTTAAGTGGTTACTGGAGCCCATAGACATCTACGACGTAAATGCGCCACCCACCTTGAGATATAAGTTCTAAGGTCTCAGTATAGTTACAACGGCTGCCCCACCCTTCAAACCGAAACGCATTACTGCTTCACGGCAGATATAGACGGGGTGGTGGTACCTACCCGCACGGACTCACAAGAGGTCCTACCACCAGTAAAATTGCATGTTAGAGGTTAGGAATGTACAGTACACATTGTTGATTTAGACGGCGAAACTCGTACTGGACGAGTACTTTGAGAGCGCGGGAGCACTGGAGGCCCTCGGCGCCGGCTCCGGGGACTTCTTCACTCTCTCGCAGCGGCCCGGCGCCGCGCTGCTACTGCGGGACGACGACGCCGCGCTGCACGACGACGACGTGTTCGTCCCCGCGCCCTCCGCCCTCCCCGCCGACGCAGGTGCCACTCTGACGCTAACTAACAGCTTTATCCCACCGACCGACATAGTCACCGAAAATAAATGAGCTCACAATGATAAACTACTATGATTTAAGAGAAAGCAAACTTGTACAATATCGATGGACTTACTAGAGTGATTTAGTGACGGAGACGATTGTTACTGGTAGAGCGTTTTGGGAGCCTACTTCGAGTAGTTACCAACGCTCGGCCTGCTTCAGTCTTATAGCAGTGATGTGTTTGCTGTGATAATACAATTTATTTTAACCTCACATCTCAAAGTGGGTGGCAGCGTTCACGTTGCGTTATCTATACGCTCTATGTAATAGAATTAAAAAAAAAGAAACACGGTAGAAGTCTATTGTTTGCTGACGTGATGACTGGTCAGTATTGGACCTTGTAAAATATTCTCGCAATGTCGGTGAGTAAGTATCATCTAATCTAATCTATGATCAGTAATTAAACTCGAGTTGATTATTGATCTGACTCGTTTTGTGGAGTCCTTTGAGTATTTGTGCCTGCACGTGTTTCGTTTGGTGTGTTAATTAAGGACTTCCGTTCAGAGATTTAAATATTATTTTTATAGTGTGAGAATTAGGTGAATATAATTATTGCAGTGCAGTAAGCGCACAGTAAATGCAAATACGGAATTAAATAAAGTTAGTGATGCGTGCTTGAAGTTGAATTTGGCATGGCTGGGTAGCGAGCGAGACGAAGTTTATTTTACAGCATGACTTTTTCAATAATTAAGGAATGTAACTCTACCTGTGTGGCTCTAATTATTCGATAAATGCGGCTCCGTCGTGTGTGTAATGGACACATGACAAATATACAAAATGGTAGAGGCGAATCACCAGTCATATCTGTTTAATCATATGTTGGTGGTGGTTGTAACCAGTGACCTCGTTTCTTCCATAGTCAATATTATACACTATACACTCGACAGAATTGTGTTATATTCAAGATCAATCATGTAACCTCGTTGATAACTTAGAACTGGTAGAGTTTCATTACAGTTTGTAGTACCGGAGTGAGGACTGACAGGCATGCATATCTTTCAAAGTATTAATTTAGCTCATGTTAGAATCAGTATCGATGCTATCGAATTAGAATCACGTGTTCATTTATTAAATTTATTGTACGACTGACCGTATTTTATCATGTATGTATGTATTTTATTTACTTACACTGAACGTGTATTACGTCACTGTGACCACCACCACCACATCGAACCGAGCGCGGCAGTGTTTTCCAAATTTTTTTGCGACCAGCATTCGTAACAAAACATTTTCGTAACTAAATCATGTGTCACTGCTAAAATATCATTCTATTCAGAAGCGACCGAAGCGAGCTTTATAAATTCTGCGATCCACATCGATTAATATTATATTCAATATTGCAATAATTGTTTTCTTTCAAATAAAAAAGAAATCTAATATTTAAAAAAAAAGACATGCCCGCTGAGTTTCTTGCCAGTTCTCTCAGGATGGAGGCTAGTTTTTGTGAATTGGCTGTAGTTCTTTTTAACGTTCAACAAGTGTGTGTACTTTCATTTATGTTGAATAAAAAAAAAATGATTTGATTTAATCTATGGAGCGTTGCAACTTTTTATACTACAAACGAGTGACTTGTGTGATAGATAAAATAGATTGCGTCGCGGTCAATAGACGTAGTGAATAGGGTTGGGGTTTGTTTGGCGGAGGTCTGCTTCTGAATAGTCGGGTGAGGGTCGGGTAGTGGTCGCGGTGTCGGCGCGAGTGTACGGACGGTTGTGTGCAGCCGCCGCCGACGGAGACCTCACGCCGCGCCGACCGCGCTTCTCACGCGCCACCAGCACTGACAAGAACCAAGGTAACCTCGCCCCACTGTCTCACCGACACGCCACACTCGCACACACACCCTACCCAATCTGCCCAGAGGGAATGTGAGCACGGGCCACGGAGCGATCGTGCGATCCGATTATAACAGTATTACAGTTCATTGCAATTGAACTCTGACTTTGATTCGCTTTAACACAATTCATATCAATGAATCACTTTCGAGTTCGATGACCTCTTCCTATTCGATCTATGCAAAGCGATAAAAAAGAAAAGAAAAAAAACTGTTTTGGAAATAGTAATTGGCAGTCTAGTGACTTTAATTTGAATACAACAGGTATTGTAGAACAAATAATATCCACTAAAAAACTCATGATTTTTTTTAATATTTATCCTACCGCGCTTAGGTCTGTCTTATGTGGACTCGTTAAGTGTTTTTAAATAGAAAAAAAAACCTGACATACCATTAGCAACTAGCAGCAAAAACAGGATTTTTGTCACAGATTGTCACAAACATAATAATGATAACAAATCAGAAACAGCAAAATTCTCAAAATTTACTTACATTGATGTTTAATTTTATATTCAATATTTTATATGTACATGTATACAAATTTGAAATTAGCGAATGTATGTATTGTAATGTAAAAATATTTTCATAATCATTTCTTTCGCTTTCTGATAACTACGATTCATTTCGATATGACCATCATTTAACTAGAACATAAACATCCATTTTCTAGTTACTTAATAACATGAATAATTAACCAGAAAACAGACTACACTAATAAATATAATAATAACTTGAACTTAGTAAGCAATTATTTAATGTTTCATATATATTTGTTCGCAACTAACATTCGAATATGCTTTATTGTTCAATAATATGAGAATGGTAGATCGTTTTTGAGCAAAGATGTTTGTGTGTTGGACATACTTTTGAGGTTGTTTTCCTATAAAATTATGTTTCATTAAATCGGCACAACAGAACCAAGTCAGATAAACGTATTTTTTGGATACGTCATATTAATGAATTTTTCAACAATATCGACTAACAACTATACATTGGGTTGTAAGAGTTGGCTGTATGTGACGCGGTTCCAATTTTCGTTCCGAACGTCTGTGGGCAGCCAGTAAACCCATGTTCAGTAGTAACAGGTTAATGACAACGAACTCTTGTAACTTGTTTGGTTCTGATGTATCGAAATGCATACTTAACCCTTTGAATGTCATGTAAGTCACCTGTGTGCTTAGTGCGAGTTTCTTAACGTTCTCGATAGCGTAAAAGTTAAGCCAAGTTTGTATGCAGTTGGAACAGCGCCCCTAACGGCAGACGTACGCAAACGATCCCACTCCATACAAATATGAGCTAACTTTTACGCTATCGAGAACGTTAAAAAACTCGCACTAAGCACACTGAAGTTATTATGTCGATTTCGGTTATATCATGGACATGGTTACTTCGGTGCGCCGCGTAGGGCACAGGTGACCTACATGGCAGTCAAAGGGTTAATGAACATTGGAGATTTGGATATATTTAGGTGTAGGCGGCGGCGGGCGGCAGACGTACACGTACGAGACGCTGGTCCAGTACGCGGACTCGCCGCTCAGCAAGCTGCCGCCCGCGGGGCTGGCCGGCTTCCCGCCCGAGCTCGCGCGCAAGGTAACGTACGCCCCGCCCCCCGCCCCGCACCACCCGCACAGACCCAACTACCTCGCCGCGCTCCTCTGCAGGAACTTCTACTGACCGCCCTGTCCAACCAACCTCACGCAATCCACTCCGCTTGTCCCGAAACGACGTCGACAGGAAATTACGTGTCATTTCATTGTATCGCTGACTGAATTCAATACTATTCGTGAAAATTGAAATATATATATAAATATATACAGGTACCCGCATCAATAATTAAAAAAAAATTATCAGCGTTGTGTACCTTATTCTGCTTGACAAAATTCTCAAATAATATTATGTATTATTTACTTGTACTTGTATTGTATTCAATCAGCAATGATTATGATCTGACGTTGTGTGTTGCATGTTACTAAAATGGAATCTCGAATTGTCTGATTTTTTTACTTGCATGTATGTGCCAACAAAATGCTTTTGTGAAGTTATATTCATTAAAAATAGTATTTTAATGTAAATTATTAGGATCTTCCTGGTCTTTTGGGTTATTATTGAATATGATAAAGTATATTAAAAAAATAAGTTTGTGAGGGTGTGGTTAAATTTTTAAATGAGTTTATAAGACTGAGATATAATTTATTAAAATTATCTAATATTTGTGTTAAATCTAAGGTATATAACGCTATACTAACATTGTATGTGTATGTTCACGCTGCTCGTACAGAATGGGTATTCCAGAGAGGTTCGTCACAGGTAGAATCAATTCCATCGTTTCAATTTCGCTTTTAAATTGTAAATTTTATGTGATTAATATTTAATCTGTGTTTTGTTTTGTAGTTGCTGAAATTAAATGTGTGGTTTATATATACGGCTTGTCAATTCTGTTATTATGAATATAAACTATAAAAAATTTGTGGCCTATTCTTCCGCTCATCCCATTAACTACTATTAATACTACTAATATCTACTATCGCTGATTATTCTCTAAACTATATCAACGCTTGAAAAGCAAACGTGACTAAGCGCTAATAACTGCTTTATACATAAATGATAGGCAATAACCATATTCGATGCGCAAAAAAAGATATTTCTAGGTTTATTAGTCATTTCAATCCTACAGATCCTACTAGATTCGTTAAAATAGATTTTTTTTTCGGGTATTTTAACTTTAGTCTACCGTAAAGTTCACGCGTTGTCGCTTAGTCACGTTTGCCTTTCAAGCGTCGATTATGCTTTAACATTAAACATTAGCGCTTTCGGGAAATGGAAAGGGTTTGTATGTGGTGTGTTGGCTTCAGTTCGAGGCGATAAATTGGTTACGTATCGACAGAGCTGCCTGGAGTTCGACAGCGCGTCCTACTTGAAGAAGGTCCGCGCGGCGGGGGGCACGTCCGTGGCCACAGTGGACGCGCCCGACTCGCCGGAGCCGGAATAACCGCACGCCGCAAGACGCCGGCTTCGATCGAATCACCATTACAATACAATCACCCCGACTGTTTGATTACCAAAAGAAAATAGCGCTATCCGATTACCGCACTAGACACTGAAATATATTTGTTATTTATGAAACTTAAAAAAATTAAATGAAAATTTTCAGAATCATATACTAAAATATGATTCGGGTTTTCACGTTTTATTCTTTATTAGCATCATAGCCATTAGACACAGCAGCACAAGGCTTATTTTTTATTTCGAATAAAAGTTTTGAGAACTTTTCTTATGTCTAATCTGCATTATGGTTACACATTTAAAATCGCTCTGCTACACTGCCGGTCAGTTTATTTTTGGTAATTAAAGTGGGGTGTACATTGGTGATGATGATTCCCCAGTTCGCCTCACGTCTCAGTAGTTATCTGTTCTTTATACACCTTAATGGAGCTTTTTTTGAATTATTATTTATAAAACTCATTCGAAAAGTATTAAATGCACCAAATTTTTTTATTGCGGTGGTTTCTTAGAATAAGCGCACGGATTGCACGCAGTTACTGTGTGAGGCCCAAGCGTCCACCGCCCTCCGCACCTCGAATCAGACGCACACTCGCACTAATTGCGTTAAATCAAAAAATATAATATATTTTATTATTATTTATTAATAATAAAAATATTATTTTTAGTAATTGAGTAACGATCAACTGATTTAAATAAAGCACAACCGCATCCGGCTCTGCATTCAACTCGCGCGCCTATCTTAAGTAAACCTCGTTTTCGTGGATAAATATTTATTTTATGATAGATATGGACTTGACCGTTTAAACGGTGGTAAGATGATATCCTGATTATCGAATACGAATATATTGTCACTTTCGCTAGGAAGATGATTGCACGAATTCCGCTGTCTTTCAATACCTAGTTGATCTCTTTTTGTCTATGGTTTTACTTATATTTAGTTTAGCGACAGTAACAAAGAAACCAGACATCGATGGAAATAATCTGGAAAAACTATACGTCCATTATAATTCAATATTATTCGAATATATTTTTGTTGTATATATTATTGACTATTGTTAGTAACGGAAGTCATAGTGATTCCATTTAATTTAAGAAGAATGCATGCATTTCTTTCGTGTGTTTGTATACTCACTTAAATCTCTGTGTCTAGTCCTGACGAGTAAATGTTAATTCTCATTATGACGAAGCAGCTGCTAAAACGCATCGAGTGAGCCTGTCAATTTTTAATATAATTGAAAATTTATTATTTTGAAGCTATTTGTCAAATAATAAAGCAACTTAGCGCTTAAATTTAACTTATCTATAAACTAAACCAAATAATTTGTTGTTTCCTAAAATATTTAATTAACATAGGTGGCAATTGACAGGCATCATTTGAAATAAATTATTCTCTTTTGTGTATAGATGTCAAAATTTTAAAAGCTAAAGAAAAAATATTTTGTGATGTTAAAATATATTTGATTTTTCTGTTCAAAAAATTATTTTTGTTATTAACACCAGCCATCAATCCTTTATACTCAAATCGTAAGTTTTTAAATGACTGATACTGAAATTTGTATTACATTAGTTTTTTTCATAATGCACATACAAAATTTTTTAGTTTGTAAATTTTGTAGAGGTCTGATTAGTTGTAATTGAATTATGATGTGGATCTAACAGGATTTATGGTTGGTCTATTGCACTATATGCACATAGTATAATATATTTTTCAAATTTCACAATTAGTTGGTGCTTGTTACCTGGGAAGTATTATTTGTTAAATTTATGATGATTTTATGTTTACACGTTTTTTATGTAAGAAAATTATTGTGGCCACTGATGAAATACTAAATTTTCTAATAGATAGGAGTTTTATTTATTCTACAGCTCTACAAAACTAGGAAACTAGTAAATAATTGAAATTATAAAGCCAATGGTTTATAAATATTTAATTCAAATAAATATCGAAATTACAGAAATAATCATTGTAGCTTTACAATTAATATCAAAGTCAGTAATATTAATAGGCATTAAGTTAATTAAATAAATGACAATACATTCTACCAGACTACAAGTTAGTAATCGCTGCACAAACCAAAAAATGAGGGAAAAAAGAGGAATTAACAAAAAAATTTCAATGTCAGCATGTGATTTCCAACAAAAATATTTTTTTTCATATATTTGCTGAACACCAATATCAAAATGGCGTTCTAAATTGACGAGACTCATTTGCACTAATATTTACTTTTTATTCGACGAATTGTTTAGTTTTCTGCCTGAAAATCGAATAACTTCGAAAGGCTAAAAAGCGTGTACATCCTAATTGTATAACCAGTACTATTTGATAAGACCATTACAATTTCGTGGTAAGATAGTGTTTTGCAGCTTTTTATGATTATTACTTAGAATTATTTTTGTTAACAAATTCACATGATTAAAGTGGCACTCTCACTACTAATACAGTGGATGTTTATATCCAGACAATCCTACATATTCGTCTGTCCGGATGTTGAATTGATTCAAGTATACGCCCAAGTCCCTACTATTACTGCTGTTTTAGAACCTTCTAACCGTAAGAGTATATCGTCACTATTCCATTACTAACCTAGAATCAGCAGATCAGATTGTTGAGAGGTTACCGAAGGTAAGATACTACAGGATAAACATAACTGCCTACTCATGCAAAAATCGCTATACATAGCTCGCTATCTAGATAGAATAGGGAACCCACGACAAGGCGCAAGTTAAAGTAAGCATAGTATTGGCCAGAGTCGCCCGTCTGGTTGCAATGTTGACCGCGTTCTCGGACGTGGCTCGGACGAGGAGTACCTGAGGCCCACTATATTCTACTTTACCATGCCAACCCCTGACCTATAATTCTTAGAAGGTTGACGTGAAGCTGTGACGATTATGACAAGAGCTTATGACGATTCCACTTGGTGGGAAGAAGTTAAGCAGAAGTTAACATAGGCTTACAAAGATAATGAAATAGCAACAAAATTGAATACTCCAACGGAACTTTAAGTAGTATGCATTCGTCACTTGCAAATATGTAGTTTTATAAAAAAAAATTAAAACGTTCCGGGTAGTTTAGACTGGTGTTGATTGGGAGAGGTCTATGTTCAGCAGTGGACGACTGTGGGCTGAATGATGATAATGATAATGAATGAAGACTCCAAGCTAGAATTTTTGCGTATATTGCGGCTGCCCCTGTATCACAAATACTTTCAATAAATATATTAAAAAAGTAACCGTGAAACTAATCAAAAAGGAAATCAATTCGAGTCTCCTCAGTTGCGGTATACTAGGAGTGGGTGATATAAATCGTATATAGATTCAATATCTATATATCGCAGCAATATCGTTGAATCCGATATCGCCCCGCACGAAATCTATATATCGATATCAGCCGATACACGATATTGCTCGATGTGATGCGCATCGCCATATCCGACTGATTCGTGAATCGAAATCTATATTTCGATATCAGCCGATACACGATATTGCTCGATGTGATGCGCATCGGCATATCGTACCGATTCGTTAATATCAGCAATATTCGTTTGGTTCGTATCGAATCGGCCAGAGTGAGTGAGCGCACGATAGGGATATCATGTGATGAATGAAACAGAAACAGGCATTATCCATACAATTGTAAACCTTATATTTAAGTCCATATGTCTGTAGATTATTCTTAGCGTATCAGCAGGATACAATTAAGGAAAGAAGTTTCAACTTTCGACCCTAACTTGAATGCAGTATAGCCTATTTGCATCGTTGAATTTAATTTCACGCGCTTTGACCTTGAACTAGAATTTTTGGACAAGTGTTTATAAATACTTAAAAGTTTTTTGTGTTTGATTTTTAAAGTACACATTTTTCTATTTTTAGTTGAATCCAAATAATTGAGTTTATTTCTTGTGTTTGTATTAAACTTTTGAAATCTACACTCTTTTGGTATATTTTGTAATTTTAAATTAAGACACAAAATACTAAAAACTGAAAATAATGTAGCCAGTCCTAAGCCTGGTAAAAGCATGAAGGAAAGTTTTTTTGATATTTTTATTTTCATGTTCTTTTTATTACTTTAAGATCATATTATAAATTGATATCAGAAAACCAACCGTATAACGTTGACTTAAATCTATATCTACTACGATATTATATCAGCGTATCGTTTCAAATCTCAAATATCATGAATCGAGAAAATCTACTAGCATCCATCAATATATAGATTCAGAAAATATATAGATTCAATATCCGATATTGATCCTCGATATATAGATACGATTCGATACGCGGCAAAACCGATATTACCCACTCCTACGGTATACGCATTATAATGTCTATAGGCTCCTGCAATTCTCCGGTTGCCTCAGTTAAGTTCTGTCTCATCGGAAGTGCGAACGCCGGCTGTTCGGCTACGGAGGTTTTAGTATCTTTGCATATAAGATACCGTGCAAGCCGCCCCTCTCACATGTGGGAAGGCAAAGGATTTCCTTATGAAACAATAAGGGCTCTTGTCATTATTTCATATCTATGTGGGACTATAAGGCGAGCCTAGTAATGTGTAAGTGAAAAAGTCGAAATGTAATCATAATCAGTGAACCCGCAATGTAAGCGAAGACAGCTGCATGCAGCCTCCCGCGATCACACGAGGTCGTTCACCCAGCCTTCAATTGTTTCCGATCCGGTGTTAGATTCTGCGAAGCACTGTTTTTACTAGGGCCAGTGTTAGCAACACTCCCGGTTTGAGCCCCGTGAGCTCACCCACACACCCGCCTCTCAAGGCTATCAGTATAGGTATGAAAAAAAATTTAAAAAAAGGTGTTCCTTTGTGCGCTGTGTACAAAATATTATTTGTTACACACCAACTGTACTACATTTTATATTACATACTAGGTTATTTATTTAAATTGATGGCTCTTAAAAATATGGCTTAATATTTTCGTGTGGGAAGGCAAAACCATGAACAATTACGATTAGTTATACATTAAATCGAGTAACAGCATTGGTCAACTTATCACAACATAAAATTGATTGGAAACTTACGTCAAATATTTAACAATACAATATCTTACAAAAAATACTAACTAGTTGATTGACATTCATAATATTCGATACGCATTAGGAATGTAATTACTAGCATAAGAGTTATTCCATTAAACAAATTGAACACGATAATAGGAGTAAACGCCAAAATTACGCTAAATGCGATGGGAGTACCTAATTGAAGACATGAGTGGATGAAGGGGGTTAAGTACCATGTTTAAGATTTTTGAGTTTTTACATTGAATGAAGGTGTTATGTGCCTATAAACCATATTCGACCTTAAAACTCTGGGTTTAACGGCTATTTTTAGAAATTGCATGTCATGAAGAAGTTATGTACGAAGAAAAAGTACAAGTAACAAAAGTTTGTTGCCCGTTTTCTCAAAATTAACAAATTGTATCATATGCCCCTTCATCCATGCATGTCTTCAATTGTTATGGTTAAAATGCACACTTGAATTAAAAGCATTGCGCGTTACATCGTCTAGTTCCATAGAAGGGTTACTAGCTTCACCTAACCAATTTTAAACATTTCATATTAAATTTGAGCTTCACATTCAGGCACTATGCAGAGGTTATAATACAATTCAGAATGTGATAGAGCTGGTAGTACTCACTAGTTTGGCTAAATCTTAAATAAACACATAAAGATCGGGTTTGTTAGAAAAATTTTCCATCAGGTAGTGACGTCATTTTCGATAAAATACTAAGCTAATCCAGTAACAAGACGTCTAACACTTGACTAAGAAACCCGAATCTCAGGGCTACATTGAGAGAGAAGGGGTCGTTGTACCCCCTTGCGGGGGCACGGAGCGCGCCTCGGGGAAACCCCTCCGTCCGGGCTGAATCTCCCTGCCTAATGAGGCAGGAGTGATGCAGTGCAGGATGTTGTGTGGCAGGCTTGAGATAGTGATGGGTGGGACTCTCCTTCTTCTTCTTTTCTTACCTCTTCTCTTCTCTTCGATGTCTATGGGTCAAGACGGCTACAGTGAATTCAGCGCGAACTTTAAATACGCTCCGATAGTTTGTCCGTGATGTTGGCACTCCTGATCCTCGCGTGTTGCATTATATCAGTGGCCAGGTCTTCGACGGTGGTGTACCGGCACTTTTGGAAACTAAACAGATCCGTGATGAAGCCCACGATCTCTGCTTGGAACGTCTCGCAAACGTCCCTTAGTCTCTCCTGCGGCCCGAGGAAGCCCCACACGAGCACCGGCAGCAGATGTTCGGATATCGAATAAAAATGCGCCATGAAACCGTCCGGGTACTGGAGGTAGCGTCTCTTTGCTTTTATAACTGACCACACCGCGGTCGTCAGCGCCTGGAACAAGCGCATAATTCAGCCATCGCTGCCGTGTTTTTTTTTATTGCTTAGATGGGTGGACGATCTCACAGCCCGCCTGATGTTAAGTTGTTACTGGAGCCATAGACATCTACAACTTACATGCGCCACCCACCTTGAGATATAAGTTCTAAGTTCTCAGTATAGTTACAACGGCTGCCCCGCCCTTCAAGCCGAAACGCATTACTGCTTCACGGCAGAAATAGGCGGGGTGGTGGTACCTACCCGTGCGGACTCACTAGAGGTCCTACCACCAGTAGTGACGCAAATTATAATTTTGCGCGTTTGATTTTTATTACACGATGTCATTCCTTCACCGTGGAAGTCAATCGTGAACATTGCTTAAGTACGTATTACATTAGAAAAATTGGTACCTGCGCCTGCGGGATTCGAACACCTGAGCATCGCTAGATGCGAATGCACCGGATGGATGTCTTATCCTTTAGGCCACGACGACTTGAACACAACACTTGGTTTGGTTACACAACCTAAGGAGAACTAGCTCATGTGGGGGAAAACTGCAGCTGATGGACATTACAATAATAATAAGTATTATATTACACAGTGATGGACAAAAAGTAATCAGATTAATAATTACAAATTATCTACAGTTACATTATAATTGGTAATTGAGATACTTTGTAACAGGGTACTTAAGTAACTGATTACAGCGCGTACATATATGTATATGTATGGTATTTGTGCATATATAATAATATGTATGTATGTATGTGTATATATATATATATATATATAGATTACACTGGATTGGTACACCGCGCGTAATTCGTTCCCAAATGATTCTTGTCCACCTGATTGTTGTCTGGTAGAGATCGCCCTTAGCGATAAGACCGTCAATTGTACTTTTTTTGTATTTAATGTACCTATCGCAAAATCTATGTATTTTTTTATATACAATAAAGAATACTCTCTCTCGCTCTCTGGAGCGGAGAATTCAAAATTCACAAAGATATTGCTAATGTAGCAAGTGATACGTTAAGAATGTAGCATTTGTAAACAGAATGAAGTGTGCTGAGTTGAAATTTTAGTATTACTGTTGAGGCTAATTGTTAAATTACAATACTTTATTTTGATGGACACTTTTTCATACAGAGTAGGCTCCTTAACGCAACCCTTCCTAAGAGTAGATTCGACACATCCCAACTGAGTATCTAATAATAGAAAAAAATAGGCATAGTTCAAACATTTATTTTACCGTATTTTCTTGTTTGGCCCCTGCGATTATTTTTCTGTGTTTAGAATTTAATAATTTGCAATAAATACTTTTTCACATTACACTTACAAATTTTTTTTAATAATCAAACAAACAAAAAATGTTATTCATAATATGAATCTAAATGTTTATGAGTATGGTCCAATCATTTGGCAGAGTATTTTAATACTCTATAAGGGCAAACGAAACCCACGACGCTTCTGGCTTTTCATGAATATTGTTGCTAGTTTGTATAACTAGTGAAACTATATGCGTTCGTACTTGTTGTTTAACACATAACTGTTACTTACGCTTTCTTTAAATCCGTCCGAAAGCCAACGGTTCCTGACGACCGCCAACACGGACGACGGGGGCGAGGCCAGGTCTTCGAAGGCGTCCAATAGTATGTAGTCCAGTACTATGTCGTAGAACGTCAGTGCCTGTGAGAAATCAATCATAATACTTAATCGACACTTTTTAATACTCACTCCAAAATCGTATTCGTTAGCGAAACTAATGAACAACACAACGCGAATGCCGCATTGAGATATGATATCTTATTTTCGCTCCTACCTACTGGTATTTTTATAAATCGAAGCAAAATGGAAGTCTATTCTGTAAGATATTCAATTTCAATTCATCAAAGACAGAATGAGTATTTGTACAATGACGTCATACAAATGTAATGTAGTACATGATTCTAATCTGTACTGCTGCGTGGCGTGCTGGGGGGCGATATTGACCACTCCCAAACTACGGGATAGTATAGTTGAGAATATATAACGGATGGGGATGTTTTTTTTTTATTATTCTTGTTGACATACGAGTTTGAAAATTCCAATAACTCATTACTAATGTTTATCTATATATTAATACGTGAAGCAAAAACTTTGTACCCCTTTTTACGAAAACTGCGCGGACGGAGGAGTATGAAATTTCCCACACTTATAGAGAATATAGAGAAGGAGTGCAGAACACAATTTTTTTTAATTACCCATAAAAAATTCATTAAATCAATAAAAAAACATTACACACACTACCATGTATTTGATACACACACACGCATGCATACTATTTGTTTATTGTCAAACTTTTCTTATTGCTTAAAGTCTGTGGTCAAATTGAGATTAGATTAAATATGGTTTGTCTTTATTAATATTGGTCTAAATTGTAGTCTTGGCAAAATCTGTGATAATAGTCTTTGACAATAGAATCATAATAATGTACAAACTTATAATTTCAATTAATTATAGTCGAATTTCGATAACCGGGGGACTCCTAGTCATTATTAAAGGATTAAACGATATGTAAGCGTTTATATTAAGGTACCTACGTACCTTCACCCCTTTGCTTGTCAATTCATTTTCGATAATAGGCCAATTGGCGTCGTCGGTTGCCCACGACACCATTTCTTCGTACGCCACTAAAAACTCCTTCGGTTCCTGAAATATTTTGTAATAAATTTTATTTATTACTGCTGCTTTCAGTCAATGCGTTGAATTGCTTGCAGCGTGATCAATCAATTACTTTTGATATATTAAGTTGACACCGAAATATAATTATGTTTGGAACTTGTCAAGGTGTCAATTTCAATTGGGCAATAGGCTAGCTTGGAGAAAATTTGATTCTGCGCAATATATCCTGTTCGGTATATAAGAGCCTCTGTGTAGTGCGTGGTGTCCGAGACAAAGACAGCCGGTGCGGAGAGATCTAGTTGCTAAAGTAAAATAGGTTGTACAGTAGGTCAGTGGTAAGTGGTCGTGGCCTAAAGGATACGACGTCCAGTGCATTCGTATCTAGTGATGCAACGGTGTTCCAATCCCGCAGGCGGGTAGTAATTTTTCTAATGAAATACGTACTTGGCTAATGTTCACGATTGACTTGCACGGTGTAGGAACAACATCGTGTAATAAAAATCAAACCCGCAAAATTATAATTTGCGTAATTACTGATGGTAGAACCTCTTGTGAGTTCGCACGGGTAGGTACCACCACGCTGCCTATTTCTGCCGTGAAGCAGTAATGCGTTTCGGTTTGAAGGGTGGTGCAGCCGTTGTAACTATATTGAGAACTTAGAACTTATATCTCAGGATAGAAGGCGCATTTACGTTGTAGATATCTATGGGTTTCAGTAATACTTAACATCAGGCGGGCTGTGAGCTCGTCCACCCATCTTAGCAATAAAAAAATATGTCAGTCGAGGACCTTGTCCGCGTAGAGCAGCAGGTCGGTGAGCACCTGGCGGCCGGCGTCCTGGAACCAGGCGCGCAGGTCGGGCGCGCGGAGGGCGTGCTGGAAGGCGCGGCGCAGACACTGCAGCTTGCACAGGAACTCCGCGTCCGAGCCGCACTGCACCACCTCCGTGCGGAGCGTCCTGACGTCACCACAACACTCACTCACTACCCACGACCATCATGTCTCAGTCAAAAAAACACGCGTGGCACTCGGGGACTGCCGCGGTAAAGCTATTGCATAGCATTTTATATCAACTTATGCAATTATAATTAGAAAATCTATACTTCTATACTAATATATAAATCTACAGTGGTTTTTACGGATGTTCCGTTATAACTACTGAACCATGCACCCAATTGACTTGAAACTTGGTATCCATGTAGAAAATACATGTACTTAATAGATAGGCTATTATTTATATGACTGTTGGACTCCCTAAACCAGCTGCGGGGGCTTTAATGATGAGAATCTTTGTGGGGGTACGAAATAATAATGTTAATTGTAAATGCCCAGCGAAGTGAACGGGTACTGCTAGTAATAATATAATATTAAAACAATAAGACCACGTTATATTTATAAACATTAACAAAAGCAAAACTAACTATCCCCTTCACACTCATAAGCTAGACCGCGCGAGAGAGAGATGGGCAGACTTTTCACGATGCGTATGCAGTACGACGTCACGCCGCGCGCTTATTCACAAACACTACACAAGCGTAACGTGCTATGCAATAGCTTAAAAACGTTCCACTGCTGAATTACAACTTTACACTTTTAATATAGGTACCCGTACTATAAATAGTTGGTTTTATGTTCATTTTAACCAAAGATGCAAAATTTACAACACAGCGAATTTAACTTTTATGAATTTCGTCTGTGCCTGTCCTAATGTGACCACATTCAAAATTTTACGATGACGATTTTTCTTGCCTTTAATTTTAAATCTTGTTTTAAATCAGGATAATTTTACTGAGCGTTTTTATATGAGCTTGGAGACAAGATGATTTTTATTTTTAAATAGGGCAACACACGCACGTTGCTACCAACGATGAGTTACCTGTAGGGTATTCCATTTTCTAATTGTTTAACGGCGGCCTGATACAGTTCTAAATTTTCTAATTCAGGCAACGCTTCCGATAGATCATCAAAGTCTCGGAGGTCAGCCACCTGAAAAACATTGGTCAAAACTATAATCTCACGAACACATCACTGAAGCAGTTAGGCATGTTTTTTTTTTATATAAACAAATCAAAATAAACTAAGTTTCATGAACTAATATATTATTATTTGGTATTAATAAGAAATGAAAGTGTGTGTGATTTTCTCCTTTTTCCAAACTAAGGTCCGTTATTTTCAAGGGAATTCGACATCGCACAGACGGCAAGCCCTTCGTGAACGAAGCACAAGATGAAATGTGTTATAGCGTTAGGTAATTGGAGTTTATTGGAGTTTACTCCTTTAGAATCGATTTACATATATAGGCCCGGGGTATGAAAATTATGGGGACCAAAATCGTACTAGCATGTCACACGAAATGCGTTATGCGCATGTCACACGAAATGCGCGCCGGGCTGCTGCGCCGGCAGTCCGCCACAAAGCCTCGTACTGATCGCGCGTTTCTCTCATTATTGTATTTTCATATATTTGTTAGTCGTTTGTTTTGTGTCTCGTTAATTTGTTAATAATCTGTAGTGTATCGTGTTGTCGTAATATAGAACTATTTCTCGTATTGTTTCGTTTAATTTTTTATATCCAGTAAACTCCAGTCGTGCGTCGGAGCGGACACACACACTTTTTTTTATTTATTTCCCTAGCAGGCAGATGAGCATACGGCCCACCTGATATTAATTGGTTACCGTCGCTCATGGACGTCAGCAATGTCAGGGACGAAGCCAAGCCGCTACCTACCATTGAATATTTCAAAATTTTCGACTAACTGTAAAGTTTGCGAGAATGTCTTGACAGATTCGAAAAACGTCATCTGTACTAATATTATAAGGCTGAAGAGTTTGTTTTTTTGAACGCGCTAATCTCAGGAACTACTGATCCGATTTGAAAAATTGTTATTGTTGTCATTGTTATTGTTGTTGCCATCACTTCGATAAAGCACGACACGAGAACCCTCTCATCGTGGCCGCCGGTAGCTACATCCCCGATCCTGCGGACAGAATGGAAAGAAGTCGACGTCGCTCAAACACGTCATTTCGAATCCTCCCGATCCACTAACGGTGCTTTTAGGTACCTCAAGCACCGGTCATCGTCCTCGTCGAACCCGTCGCTTGCGACGAAGGGCTCAACGAGTAAATCAGCCCATAGATAGACGTCATCAGGTTTGAGCCCCGTGAGTTCACTTACTAGTTAAGGCTACGCTGATATAGCCTCTCAAGGCTATCAGCTTAGATAAGTAAAAAAAAAAAAGTTGTGGCCAAGGTTACCTGATCCTCAGCGGAGGCGAAGGACTCCGCGCTGGAGTGGTGGTCGCGGCGCGTGTGCGAGGAGGCCGTGTGCGAGGAGAGCAGGCGCGTGCGGGCGCGCACCGAGCCGCCGCTCTCCGACCGGAACAGCACCGAGCGCTGGTCCAAGAACAGCAGCTCGCACCGCTCCTGTCAACACGATATCGTATATACAAACACACATCGCGTTTTCAATCGTAAACATTGCGTTAACTTCACGATTGAAGCAGCCGCTATTGCAACGTAATGATATGCAATACAATTGAGATGCTATTTATTTTTATTTGCAACATTTATAAGTGTGGTTTAGTTCTTCTTTTACTTATATTAATTCTTGCTCGCATATTTTTTGTTTCCTTAGTCATCTATCTTGTTTTTTTTACTTATTGCTTAGATGGGTGGACGACCTAGTGTTAAGCGGTTACTGGAGCCCATAGACATCTACAATGTAAATGCGCCACCCACCTTGAGATATAAGTTCTAAGGTCTCAATATAGTTACAACGGCTGCCCCACCCTTCAAACCGAAACGCATTACTGCTTCACGACAGAAATAGGCGGGGTGTTGGTACCTACCCATGCAGACTCACAAGAGGTCCTACCACCAGTAATTACGCAAATTATGATTTTGCGGGTTTGATTTTTATTACACGATGTTATTCCTGTGTACCTGTAACATGTAAGCATTCTGTAGCAGATCTTGTATCTCCCGACAGAACTCTGCCTCCTCTGGTGAAGTGAGCGCCAGCGTGCCTGAAGTACCACCGCGCGCGCCCAGAGAAAAAGCGGCCAACGCGTCTTCCCAGTAGTTTATGCTCGTTTCTAGTGCCTCCATCCCTAAACCATAACAAATTTTTATCATTACACTCGAGTTTTTTTTTTTTGCGTAGATGAGGACAACCAAACTTTTTTCGAATTTTTTTTATAATTAATGGTGTTGTGTCGTCACTGTGCACGTTAATTTGAACGAACGAATAGTGTAAGAGAAATAGTCCGGCTAATACTCGTCTATGGTAGATAATGTTGGTAGACCTTAATGCAGACATTTACGAGATGCATACGAATCTCATATTATATAAAGCATTAACGGCCCTTCAGAGAAATGTATTGTGTTATTCATCATAGTATATTGTATTGTCTAAAATAATAATTAGGTAGAAAATGTTCAAAATAAAACCAAATAAGCAAGACATAAATTCATGTTTTATTATTTATTCATTTTTAAATGAAGTATAATATCCGTAGCTAAATATCTAAATATCTAACTGACTCATTTTAAATCACACTTTTGATCTTAAAACTATGCTTGTACAATAGGAATGAGCAAAAATACTAATGGGCATGCTCTATTCATAAAATAAATTCCAATGTTCTAATTATTACCTCCTTAACATTATTTATTTACACTTATTTACTAGATAATACTTGTATGTTGGAAGGGATATAACAAAAAAAACCTAATGGAAGACATGTGATAAATTAATTCAAGATTTTAAAGGCATAAAGTCGGATATCCATGATTTCTGTTATTGTTAGTAGTTCTAAAGTATTATAGATATTTGTAACATACAAATATCAATTCATAACAAACTATAAATCCAAATCAAAGAGATTCTTGCAAAAAGCAGATCCAATATTATAGCAATGTCGAGAATTATTGTTTTATTGACTTCATACCCAAACTTGATTATTTTTATTATTATTAAAATAAATTAAATAAAAACAGTTTTTATGTCTGGTCCATTTGACTGCACTGAGTTTTTCCTTTGTAAATGTTCCACTACAACTTGTACTTGTCCATTGATATCATGTACGGTTCCAGTAATTTCAGTTAAAGTTTCTGTCAGCCTATCTTCTGCGAAGATTCGTCTCTCATCCTGACTCCTCATTATAGAGGCTATAGATTCTAGTGCTTCAGCCATTCGTTCTTGAGCTGCAATGCGTCTCTCTTCCATGTCTAAAGCCCACTTAGGTGGCAACGATGCATTATCTTCTTCTACATGTATTCCTGAAATTCAATAAAATTTTCTATGTTATTGTTATTTTCCAATTTATTTTAGTAATAATAACTATAGTACTAATAACATTTGTAAATTCATTTCAATTTGAATGATAGGACAGTAATTATTTAAGTCAATTCAAAATTAAATTTGACTCCTTAAAATGGATGGTCACATTCATTTTGTGATGTGTATAGGTAGGTATATATAGGTGGTAACCAAATGGCACTAGATGGGCAGAGACTTCATTTACCAATGTAGGAAAAAAAAATTGTGGTACCCATAGTGTTGCCCATAGGCTTGCCACAAGCTGGTAGAAGTGGCGATTGCTAATGAGGCACATAACATTTGCCCACAGCAATGATACTGAATGATGACCACAACTGTTCTGACAAGAGTGTTACGACAAAGACAAAGAATCCATGTACTTCAAAAGTAGCTTCATATCAGCAAGTTGAGTTACTAGACTTTCTCTTCTCATCAAAAATAAAAATTGTCTCATGTTATAAAGCATTATTTTATCAAGTTACTAACAAGAAATCCATTCCATCATTTACCCATCATTTTTGAAGTGGATCTCCTTTTCTTTAATTTTATAGGAGGAGTATGACTTTTAACACTGTCAAGTGGTATTGAGTCTGAATCGTCCTCTTCATCATTGTCCGTCTTTAATTCAGGAATATTAGTTGTCATAGAAGTGTCACCGCTGATCTCCAATGATCTAAGTTCCAAATCACTAAAGTTCAACTTTAAAGTGCTATTGGCTAACTTGCGCCTAGCTTTTTTCCTGCATTTGTGTCGCCATTCAACCCAATACTGCAATTAGAACTCGATTTAATACTATAGGATAAAGGAATTTCATAATTTTATTTTCATGATTCTATTTTTATTCATAATTATATTTATATTAAACAAATTTAAACATACTACATACATTTACTATTTCAATCAATTTAATTTTTTTTTGCAATACCTTCCTCCAACCATCTGCGGACTTTAATGCACCGCCCTGCAGAGCATTGAGCCTTTTTGTGAGAAAGCTCCACTTCTGTCGAGTTTCTTGGTGTGATAATACCGAACCGGGCACCAGTCCTTTTGACATTTCCTTGTTCTCCTCCAAATAACTTATTAGCTCCTCTAATTGTTGATTCGAAATTCGTCTTGGCGGTGCCATCTGAACGATTTTAAAGTTTCATTTAATTAAACAGTTTAATCAAAACCTGACCAGAGCAGTATTTGAGGATAATTTTAAAATCCAAAATACAAATAATTGTTGTTGTTATGTCAGAACTTACCTTTGCTCAAGTTATAAAAACGTTAAATTATTAAAACTACACGAAACAAAATTTAATCATGCCGCTATTTGTATGACACAAGCAATCTCTTTCACAAAAGCAATAATTTTCTATTAAATGCTATTGAAAACAATAGTGACATGTAATGGCGACTTGTGCGTTTTATTAACGTGCAAGCATCTTCAGTTTTAATTTATTTATATTTTTTAATTCCGATTATTTAAACATTTTGTTCAGTAATACAATTCTTTTCATATTTTTTTTAAATACTAGGATATTTTTTTGGCTGATGATAGTTGCGATTTGCAAGAATTAATAAGAAAATTATTTGGTGATGCGTTAAAAATACAGAAACTATTGTTACTATGCTCTGGAAGTATATCAAGAACAATAATTGAATAATTTCACTATCAATAAAGTGATTCAGACTGTTGTATGTGTATTTAACTATGTATTTAAAATTGTTCTGATGTAACTTTAATACTTTATTTGTCCATTATTAAACTTAGCAAGACCAAAACGCCATCTGTTATCGAGTAGCCAAAACAGAGAATTATTTAATGTCTCAAGCATGATTGATTTTTCCGGTGAGGTAATCATGAGCTCATGTTTTTATAATTTGCAATATACAAGTAACAAAGTTATTTATTCCCAACTAAATATGAATTAATGTTAGGAAGTTTTGCATAAAATATAAATATTGTGAAAAGTTTACTTTACGAACCCTACCGCAAAACTTAAAATTCCTAGCCAACAGTACATTATTTGATAAATATTGCTCTCACTGGCTGATGACAAACACATTCGAATTGAAAGTGCTTTTTAAGCATAGTATTAAAGTTACTGTACTTGTGTGAGTGACCTATATTAAGACCATCCCCATTCTTCAGCGATGAGATGTTCCTATTGTTATTACGCAAACACCATTTTTCATACTTACCTTGAAAATAGTATATAATGCAAAAAAAAAATCACTAAAAGATAATGCTTTTTGTTGAGTATACAATATTGTTGATAAATATACAAGACCTTACAGCTGGTGGTATGGCATGGTGCGAATCTACCACCGTACCACTATCTTCCCTGTATCTGCCCAGAAGCTATTCCCTTACGTCGTGGTATCTACTGATGAAGCGGTTCGTCAGTCCAGTAATTGCTTAACATCAAGCGGGACATGAACTCGTTCTGTCTAAATACGCAAATAGCTGAATGTAGCACAATAGTTTCTCAAATTTTCAAGCTTAAAAAATTCTTGAAAAGTAATGCTCCAAAAAATATTCATCATAGAATTCAGGATATTGTACTTTTAGAAAATTACTCTATTATTTGCACAAATGGAAATTAATTGCTTTAATGGATTAATGCTGGTATTATTAGTCCTAAATAAAAATGCGTGAAGTGCGTCATTAACATCACACGCAGCCTAGTGTCGACTTACGGGATTAGGAGCCCCACTGTAATTAATTCAGCAAGAATTTCGATACAGCACGACCTGACCATCCATTAGGGGTTCGCGTGATTTTATTCTATTAAAATTAAGTGCGTGGACAATTAAAATACAACGAGATTTTAAACCACACCATAAACATACGTTTATAATTCATTATTCACAGAACGACGTAGATTCAAAAACCAAGTTATGGCTCTCATCAGATTTCGATGACTTTAATCATTTCTTCGTAAATATGTAAGGTATTGTTCTAAGGCAGTTCTATATGTGTAATATATTATATGTCATAATAAATATATGTAATTCAAACTATTTTACGGTCTAATCTCGCGTTTATTATTGTAATTTTATTATTTCCGATGTTTCGAATACTCCACAGTTTTCGTGGTCACATTTTAATTATGTATACGACTCGTGAAAACTAAAGAAAATCTACATGACATACATAAATATAATTCTTTCTTTTTTTAAACATAACTGTTTTAAATCATGAAAAGTAATTAAATCATTACAGTTCACAGTTTTGTCGGCAATCGTCATATGTTATATAAATCGTGCATCTTTAGATGTTTTTATTTCGGGTTTTTTGCGTTATCTTCATCATTCTCAAGGTTGTGGCGCAGGGTCAAAATGTAAAAAAATAACATTTAATAAGTATCTGAACCTACCTGATTGTACGTACTTTATTTCCATTTCATTACGATATTAAGTTTTACATTTCTTTAACTGACACTGATGGCCAAGCCTTTTTCAACGCAATACAGAAAACTACATTCGTATATAGGTATACTGAGTAGTATATACTGAGAGTGTTTTTTTAGAGATATTTGAGAGATTTTTTTTTTGTTTACGTTTGTATTTTTATATTTTTTACGTTTATATTTTTTACGTTTTGTGTTTAATTTATTAATTCAACAGAATTCAATTCAGATTTATTTAATAACGATGATATTGTATATCAAAAAGTCTAAAAAAGTTTGTTATCGAAAACGTGTGGATTAAACAAAAAAATTTGAAGGTCGAGCTGGGCATCGGATTTTGATCTCTTTCTCATCAGTTGATCTTTCGTAAAAGCTTTATGCATTCTGTTCTTGCTCGAAAAGCGTTTCAGTTTTAGCTTTTATTGACAGTAGCAGACTCAAAGCTTAGGTAGTTTAGTCAACCACCATTGCTGCAGATAATACCTATTGTATAAATTCAATTAGTATTGTATTAGGGAATTAGTAAAATCTGACGCTATATTTGTAACTAATATTATAAATGTACCTATACCTACATAACGATATATACGTACATATGCCCACCTACTTTAAAACTGTAACCCATTTTTCAAATTCAGCTTCGTAGCCGCAACAAAACAATAACATATTATTAAATACCTAATGTTATTAATATAAACAATAACGTAATAACTGTAACTTTGTACTTTAATGCGGTCAGTGAATCAGCACTTGCATATACCATGGTATACTGCTTTAATAGCACCATAGGAATATAGAATATAGTGCATGTCGTCGTGTAGGAAACAGTAACGGTTCCCTTAGGGGATTCCATGGTTCTGGAATGGCGGCGACGTAGGGTACCGTCGGAACAAGGCAACAAGGCGCCGCGCGTCGCGCGTCGTACGAGCTTGGTCCCTCGCTGGCCTCCGCCCGCCAGCCGTCCGTTCAGTCCGACGAAGACTCCGCACTGCGGCGGTTCTCTACACATTTGCCATTACGCCTAACATATTTTAGCTCACCGAGAAGATTGACACATATATCGGCGAACCTACTGGAAAAATATTTTCTGAAAAGTGTTGAAAAAAAAACATTGTCAAAGTGTACACGTGCTATATATACTAGTTGTGTGAAGTTTAATATTCTTCTTGTTTCATTTAATTTTTTTTTGTGTCTTTTACAAAGGTAAGAATAACACAGTATTCAATTATTAATTGATTTATACAAGTACAACCTTTTAAAACTTGTTAATTTTTTGTTGATGTTCTTCGACAGGCACTTATAACATCTCTTATTTTTTGTCGATTAGGTTTTCTTTCTCATCTGCGGTATTATTGCGTCTCGGGTTTTTTTGCTACGTACAACTGTTATAATTAATTTTACTTGGCTTATTTTGTGAATTGGACTTGCTTTGAGTGGAGCTCAAAATTATATTTTCCTTTCCGGCTTGTGCTCCGAGAAGAAGACCTCCTAACACGTTTCTTATAAACCGGTTCACTCGGATGCACGTTGGGACTTACGCAATGATCTTTTTAATCGATGAACAATACTATTTTAGAAAAACGCCAAAGTAAAAGATAAAAATTCATTCATAAATTAAAATCCAATCCACACTCGAAAAAATAATATTGCTCACAGGGCTTCTAGCTCCTTCTACTTTTTTTAGCAATGGTATTGACAATAACATTATATATACAAAATTTACTTGCGTGTTGCAAAGGTTTTTTTTAAATGACGCAATAAAAGTATTTCACATTGTGTGCAGCTGCATGTTTCCGTGCAGTTTGACAAAAGCGGATTATGCAACTCTGTAATTCGAAATAGGCATTGTGTTTGAAATATAAAGTAAATATTTACGTTTACCAAAATAATTTAACATTTATATATATATATTTTTTTAGTGAATTACAACTATAAAAGAGTTTCACAGGCTTCAAGCCTATTTAGTAAATGTTATATTTTTAGTCAGAATATTTCATATATCGTATATAGTATATACTATATTTCATATATAGTATATACTATATACTGTATGATAATGTTTTACGAATTTATCATAAGATTTTGCCGTGGTAAAGTTCAAGTTCGCCACACTAAGGCCCGTACTTTGGGAATGCGACATATCGCACATATAAAATTAGAATATGTCAAGATTAAGAGTAAACATAGCAACAGTGTCGAATGTCTCGATTGTTGAACCCCAGTTGGGTCAGCCGTCTCGACACAGTCCTCCAATTGGCGTCACTCTATCGATCTGCCAGCCCATTTTATTGTCTACGTCACACATACGATAGCCACACTGTCATAAATCAAATACTTTTACTGGACATTTATTATATTTCATCATTCACATGCTTTAACCATTTTTTCTAACAGTTGTTACATAGGGGTCGCTTCGAATCTTTTATAATTATAAAGGTACCTTAATTTTATTAACAACAAAATAAAAATTTCAATTGAAGAAAACAAAGAATAATTTCCTCTTCAACTAGTCAGTTACCTTCGAGATTATTGCCCATATCCGTTCTGAGATCGTCACTTAAGAATCGATCATGTATAATAGAGATAATAAAACTTGATCTATTAGAGATGCGATATTGGGTCAAAGTTCGTCGAACTTCGAAATTCGAAAGATAAATTCATGAATTTCACATAATCCACTAGTTTAAAGTCAACAAGCAACACGTTTTTGTATGAAGACCGGAGAATGATAATAGTAACAATGATAGTCTCATTGACTATAAGGGAATTAGTTTGAAGATGAGACTTCGGCCTCTTACTTCTGTACTCCTGTCTCTACTCCTGTCTTTCTACTACTATCAATATCATACCCATAACATATATAAGCACGTAAGCAAGCAAGTCTATAAGCATTTGAAATTTCCACCTCATATCAATTGGGTGGCGGCATTCGTTGTTAGGTTTCTAAATGCTTCGGTAAACAGTTAAAGTAAGGTCACTTCTACAGCTCTTAGTAAATAATAAAAATGGTTTTAGTTTTCGAAAAATCGAAACATATTATTCAGATATACCTAAGTATGTTTCATTAACTAAAAAAAAATACTAATATCGTTTATTTACAAAACGTATCAATTCGACAATCCCGTTATGTTATGAAATTTACAGGCACGTAAATCTCCGGACCCCAATGCTTTGGTGGCCTACTTAGGTGGGTCCACCATATCGGGGACATTTCGAGACGCAATAAGTAAGCGCTATGTCGGCTGGAAAATTACCTTCAATTTGGAAGGCGCGAAACTTCCCTAAAACGTTATCAGTTAAAAATACGGTGTGTAACGACCTTTTCGACAGGGTTTTTTTGGATGAGAAAATTATCTGATGTTATTTTTTACACATAGCAATATAAATGTATGCAAGTTAATGTGAAATTGAAGAATTCCTTTTTGTACATATTGATTGTATTCCATTCAAAATAATTAATACAAAATATGTAGGGTAGGTACATATTATGTCTTCCGATGTCGCTTCACAAGCGTTTTAGAAAATCATTATCTAGAACGATCAACGATGACTGTGGTCATCGTGCATCAAATGTCAAAAATATCACTAAAACCTTATCAACTCAATATACACGTCTTTGCTGAAACGCATCAAGTGTTTTTTACAATTTACATTGAAGACCGTTAGTTGATCAAGAGGGCGGCGCCTATGTTTATACGATGTAAGGTCACGACCATAAAAGATTAGGGTCCAGGTGGAATTCATCTGGTAGTTGAGGGGCAGAGTGGAGGACGATCCTCGTATTCGTATGCAGACCGCGCGGTGGTGGCACGATCGATACGCGCCCGCGCGACGCCTCCTTCGCGAGCACGAGTTACAAGTCTGCCACAACAAATATACTTGAGTTTATCGTATTCTTGGACACCTTCACATGTGTACTTATGCAGTTCATTGATTTCTGTTCGATTTAATATTTACGTAACTTCAAAACTTTTAACAGAATTGAATTTAATAGAAGCGGAAGTGATATACGTTTTTTGCAAATCGAACGAAAAGGGATCTACTTTATTTAAAATGATGACATCATCGGTGGTAACGACCAAGGCACAAAATAAAAACGTGTTGTCGTGAACTGAGCGATTACTGAACCAAGTAACACTCGGTCGGTGACCGCGTAGCCCTGATCTTGACGAAATAAGTCTAATTATGACCTTCACAAAACAGTATTGATCAGGAAGTCTTCATAGAATGTTTTTTTAATGAAGCACATTTATTGAAAAGTACCTACTAATGTAAACAATGATGCGAACGTTTTATTTTAGTGATTATGTCATGGGTCAAGAAGACAACCTTCTAACAACTTTGTTGAAGAGGAAGAAGCGCTGTAATCTTGATTTACTCAACATCTATTTACGGCAAAAGGCTTATTAAATATGATTCACGCAACAATTTGCGTGGGTATCGTGGCCCAGAGATATATTAACGCACATTTTTATAACGGGTCTACCTATGCCTAGCCTATCATAACATAATTGAGTTGATATTGTTAGTCAAACAAAGCAGAAAATATTAAACATAACTTCGAACTCATCGACTTCTGGCAAAATTTCTCTATCGACGTTTACCCCTCTGTTGTGATGAAATGCACTAACTGTTTACTAATAGCTTAATGTACTGTGGTGGCTGTCTGATGGACAAAAGGGGCACATTTCAGGGGAGTGCTGTGGTTACTTGGTCATAGATTTGCTTAACTTTATAATAATGTGAATCTGCCGTCCGAATTAAGCAGATATTTTTGGCAGTAACAACAATAATAAAATTAACTTTCTCTTGTAGTAAGTATAGTAAATAAGATAAAAATATGTTATCCCCAAATCACTTTATGCTTTTACTTAATTATTTTTTTCCTTTTATTTTGAATTCAATGGAAAAAATATTTCTTATGCTAAGCTAAGCTAAAATATTCCATTAAATATTTATTTAGAATTTCGATGAGAATGATAGCGTTAACTATCTATTGATTTTGAGCATAGTTACCTGGATGAGCTCCCTCAGTATAATTTTATTGTTTGGCGGCCAATGCTCCCCATTTCGGACGACCCTTTGACTGAACAATGGCAACTATGAGGGGAACAAGATGCAGCTGCTTTACTCTCTAGTGAATTCCTACTTTTTGCCAAGAAATTCACAGTACAGCATTGTGCTGAAGCAACTAGATATTTCGTAGAACTTAGTCCAATACGTAATTTCATTTCTATTACCTACTTTATAAATGTGAAAGTTGATCTTGAGAAACTAGAAAAAAATAGTTTCGGTTCTAGAGATGGTGTATCGGCGCACCCTAGTAGGTATGACGCAACGTGAAAAGCAATGCAGTTACAATTCTGGAAGCGAACGACTTTTTTCTGAGGCGCCAGACGAAGCAGCACATCGAGAACAGTGGACTTTCTACCTCATGAATAGCGGTAATTTTCTCATTCGAAACAGACAGCAAAATAAGCAACATATTGCGTTTAGGAGGGCCTAGATGCGCCTAGACCGGCTTGCAAATATTATCTTTCATGTTGCTGCGAAAACGTGATTTTGTCTACCTTATCGATGTTTCAAATACGCACGGGTTTGAATACTAAAGCAATTACGAATTCTCACGTCTAAAGAAGAAAGCGGCGATGAAGTTGTGATCTTTTGGGACCACACGACAACAGGAGTTCAATTGTCCACCAAGGCTAGTAAAAACATAGTCCAAATTCAGCATCATTCAATTAATCGATTGAAAAATATTCGCGATCTAGATTTGGGTATTGCGTACTTACTAAATATCATCAAGTAGAACAGACACTCTTAGTTAATTTAGACCAAGATGTAAAATACGTTCAAATCCATTTAAACACATTTAATTACTTATCTTAAGTAACTGATTTATCTTCGCAGTGCCTAAGCCGCTGGGCTTACTAAATCTGAAATTATGGCAGTTGATGTTTGAAGTATACCCTAAGGATGGTTTTGTTTAGATTTCACCTAAAGTGTGTAAAATAAAGAATGAGCAGTTGTATGAACGTCTATTAGTTTCAAAGAACAAGATTTCAGATACGGTTATATTTTAATGTTCATTTACTATATCGGCGTAAAGAGAATTTAGAGATTAAAAGTTGATATGGGAAATTTACTTTTGTAAGAAAATAAGCATAAAAATCAATGTTAGACCTCAATCAATAAAATCTGGG